TGGCGAAATTCGAAGGACAATGGAAGAATACATAGCATGAAGTCTCTGGACCGATTTACTGTCTTGTTGCAGCACAGCATCTGTGAAAGTTGATATAGCCGTAGCCCAGAGATTTGCGGGTCACCGCATCGCGGCCTTGTCTTGCAGTTGTTCCACCCTCCCAATATTAATGGCAGCAGCATTGCACAATTTCAGCCTGCACGTTTGATTCAAGCTGAGACCCATGCAAACTCGTATTGACGCAACAGGCCCGACAGCGTTGAAAATTTCGTACAGCATTGCCTGTTGTAGTGCATCCCGAGGCCAGGGAAATGCTGCCTAACATTGGCATGAATTAGCCAGTTCTTCCAGCAACGCTGCTTGGCTTTCCAGATTATGCGCAACGGAAAATTTTGCACAGAGGCGGCATGAGCTCATGTCAACTACGAAGCTGCACTTGCAGTGCACAGACACATAGGTACCAAAGACGAAGGTAGACCCAGTCGTAAAAGAAATTAACTTGCTTGATCTCAGGATTGCGGATGAGAATTTTCAGTCGAATCCCGAAGGGCTCTAAGCATGTTACTCGAGGGCTCTCAACAAGAGTTGCATGTCACTTTTCGTCCCCGCCGAGAAGGCCAACCCATGGAATGCTTTTGAACAATCTGGCTGGATACGCGCGCGCAGCCGGCAACCGCGGAGCCTCTGTGACATCAGGATGCAAGTCGCCGACATACAGTGAGGCGAATTGAGCTGCGGATGGCCCTGACCTGACAAGCACAAATAAACAGAGACTTGGACACGTTACTACTGCAGGCACCAGCACCACACAAACATTAATCTGCATCTTCATGAAGCACAGGCTACCAGGATAACAGGACATATTTCTTGGGCTGTTTGCTGTTGATAGAAAACTGACGGCCGCTTAGGCTGCAGCATTTCGTCGAATTGCCGGGTTCGCCGCTGCCAATCCGCCCCGGCTTGCGGAGAAGCAATGTGCTTGAAGTAGCTTAGGATATTGCTGAAGATTGTTGAAGTGCACATGATGTTTTGCACTGCACCCCCAAGCTGTTAGCACAATGAATGTCATGTCTTTGTTGAGCAAGGACGCCTTGCATGGCATACCCCAACTGCACAGAAAGGGTTCCAGAAAGGAACTTTACATACATGACGCTTTCAATTGTTTCAAGTGGAGCTAAAGCAGCGACTGTCTGCAATGCATGATGGCTTCAACTGGACAGACTGTAAGCCACGCCGAGACAGCTGCCCGTTTCTACCTGCGACATCTCTATGGTCAACCGATGCAGCCTAGGCCAATGCTTCAGCAAGCGTCAAGCATGAGATGGATTGGGACACGACTAGAAGGCAAGCTGCATGCAAGACAGCTACCCAGGAAGCATCTGTCTGAGCTTTGTTTGACCTGAAGGATTCTGTTGCACCATAGCAGTTTGCAACTCCGGCATTGCAGGCAGGTGTGCTGAGAAATGCTAGCCAATGCCTCCCTCTTAGGTTCGCCAAACAGAAGGCCTTACACATTGTGGTATGCTATGATGCGATTCCTCAGCCAGCACCTTTTCTTCGAGCCTTGCTAGGCTCTGGAAGTCTCCGCACACACAACTCTTGAAAGTCAAGACGGCTGTGCATCAGCAGGCTGACGGCTGACGGTAATGAAAGGCAGGCAACTGCCCTCCGCTTGTGCAGCAATCTTTGTCCATCCGAGTCAAACCTTTCGGCCTCTGAATGAGCTGGCACCAGGTCTCGCAGCGCGTGATAGTCTCTTCGGCAAGGCAAGTCGATCTCGCATGGTCACGAGGGAAGAGATTCAGGTTGTCTCGGTCCCGATTATGCCATCATGTGGAAATCAATGCCAAGTCCAAGGCGTACCTTGTGCGCACCAACACAAGGAAAGATTGAAGCATGTGGGTCAAAACTGGCACCCGGCGTGCTGCCCAAATGCAAAGTCGAGCAGTGAGAGAATGATGGCCCAGGTCGCCAGCGCTTCCAAGCAAGCCTGCGGCACTGAGCGTGCACGAAAATAATGTGGGCCATCTGAGCTCTGGCCTCAACGAGCGTGTGCCCACCTCTGGAAGCAACCGTCAGTGTGACAAGACCCGGAAATGCTTCTTGTTACTATCCTTTTACCCTGAGGTCTCTTGCCTGGCTTCCAATCCAACCGTGCGAAAAGTGGAAAGGAGACAGTGAGGTACAAGGCATAGAAGGCCGAACCTTAACTCAAGCTGCTACACTGCATACTCGTCACAGGCCGTACAAGCAAGTAATGTGAATTAGATTTGCGGCCAGCAACCCACAGTGTACATCTGCTGGCGATCATCGAAGGTGTAGTAAGGAAATGCGGAAATCGAAAATGTCTCCAGGAAAGCAGTAACGTAAGCCAGCACAAACACCTGACGTAGCAAAGGGTGCCGTGACACTGCCAACTCGGGTTGAGGGACAAATCGAATGAGTGCATGAGTCATACAGCTAGATTCGGCAGTTTGCCAACATTCTTGCATAGGCTTCTTTCGTCCGATTTTGTGACCAGAACTTTACAGTAAGCTTGCATGTGTTTGTATCGAAGTTGTTCGGATAGGGTTACGCCTTTGATGATGTTCATCATCCCTCAATCGTTCTCGGAAGAAACTCGACATATATCTGTATAATATAGCTAGCTGGAAACCCATATCTTCGGTGGAACGAGGTTGTCCATTGTGCTCATCACTTTATGAGATGCTTCTCAGGTACTAGTATAAACTGGAACTCTGTAGTATCGGTCATCTTTCCAAAGCACACCCAAACTGCATAGACATCCTGCGCCAATCCGCTGCTCTCTCCGAAATGATGCATGTTCCACAGCTGTCGATAGCCAATTCTCATGACTGCAACTGCAGTTTTCGCAAAGGTAACAAAGCTTTTGGGCAACAACGGCCTCTGGAAGCTGAAGAACCAGCACTCTTTTTAATCTTGACTTGGAAAGTGCTTGCGTCGACGTAAGACATGAGACTCTTTTTTGGCGCTCAAGCCTCTCAAAACCTTCGAGAGGTGGCTGTAACAGTCAACGCTAACATCCGCAAACTAGTTCTACCTTTCAACTTCTGTCAGTTTCTGTGAAGCTTACGCGTGCAAAAAAGATCCTGGCATCGCTGATGCCAATTTCCACACGGCAACCACTTCGTTGCGCTTCCGCTGCGTGTCTGATATCTTATCGGGAAGCTCCCTGCCATGTTCCTTGCTGTCCTTCTCTTTTTTAGAAATGAAAAAAAAACTCCCACTCTTGCGACGACTTGTTGCAATTCTCTTCTTTCATTGCTTTCTGGATAGGTTCTTGAGATAAACTTTCGATGGTTCTCTCTCACAATGGGGCCTCAGCTATATTGCGTGCTCTTAGAATCTTGACAACTTTTTGGCAGCCATCCCAGCCAACTCAGTAACAACTCATTTTGGGCCGGCCAGGTGGCTAACGTTGTGCAGAACATCGTGTGGGCTGCGCCAGGGCGAAAGCTTGTCCAAGCCCAACGCAAAACTTTGCTTCCCATCGCATGGTAGAAGCCTGCAGCTTGTGCTCAGACGCGGGTTTATTCTGGCATGAGAAGCATATGAATTATCTGCGGCAGGAAGCAGAAGTAGAAATGTGTCGCGAGGTACCTTACCAGCATTTCTTAGCAAAAAACTGAAGAGGGACAGAAACGAGTTGCTTGGAACCCCTCAATTAATGAACAGATTTCCATAGCTGGGTGGCATGCAGATGGGCACTCGGTTCAGCTGATGGTCCGGCAGGAATGGCAAAGTGTACTTCCTTAGCTTTGCTTTCAAAAGTCGTGTGAACATTTTTCAGGGAGGTCTGCAACATCAATGTGGTTGCGTATGGGCGTCGCTTTCAGCACGCAGTAGAAATAGTGCGTGCCCCAATAGTTTCCTGAGTAATTGGAAGTGCTGCAATCAATACACCATGTCCTTAACGTCAAATAAGTAGCAACAAAAAGAGAATAGCAGCTTTTCCATTCTGAGCTTGCGCAGCATTCATATGTCTTTTGAATGATCCATTTCATGCGCCGCCTCTCAAAATGGCCATGGAGGTGAACTTGCTAGAATGCACCTAGCCGTCCAAGTGCAGGATCAGGAGCCCAAAAAAGAGTAGATGGCTATCCAGGCATTCGCCTTCGTGCAGTGCCGCTCGAGCAATGGCACGTGTTCCTCTCCTGGCCATTTCAACAACAAAAAAGCAACTTGCACTTTATCTTCGATACTTCAAACTGCCTGTGAGTGAAGGCGCCAAAAGAGGTTGCAGGCACAAAGGTGTTGCGAGGCCGCCGGTGACAAGGAGGTACTGCCACTTCCCCATGTGCTCATAGATGCCAAATGCGACAATGACCTCCATTGGGCTGCAAGACCGTGCGACGAAACGGTAGCTCTCTGTACATCTAGGATCACAAACAAGCCGGGCGGCCGCAAAGCAGCTGATCCAGAAGACCCCATAATGAAGAAACCAGTTCTCGCACCTTTCCTTCGCTGTCGGCTCCTGCACGCGGCAAGCCAAGCGCACAAGAGATTACTTCTCCGATTCACCCTCAGCTTGCCATCTCATTTTTCCCTTGTCCTGATTCTTTGTGGAAGGCTCTCGCTCCAGCAGCAGGAAAAGCCCCAGGAGTGCCAGAAGCTGAGATGCCAAGATTGGCGCCAAAGATGTTGGAACATCCATGGCTCTGATGACAGCCTAGAACGACGGGCCTACAAGCTTTGTACTTGGGATTCTGCTCGAGAAGGTTAGTTCTGCAACATGAAGCGGTAGTTTTGAATGATCCGGTGGTAGTTAGAAGCTAGATGAGGAGGGCAACTTCCTGGTTTCCAGTGGGACATGAGTTTGCATTTTTTTTCGTGTAGGACGTTCCTGTTGACAGAGGATTGGCCTCAACTTCGAGGAGATCCCCCAGCAATACATTCTCCACCTCTCTGCAGATTGCGCCCATAAGCTTGTGCACATCAACCACTGGCATGGCCGCTGCCAGAGAGGGGATTGGGCGCACTCTGGTGTCAGGAAGACGGGCATTCGGTCGTGCACCTGCCGTGCAGTGTGAAGCTTTGTGGCTGCTGACTGGAATTGATTGGGAGTAGCTTCGTAAGAGAATGTGTACTTTGCACATGAAAGTTTATTGTGACAGCTGTTCAGCAAGGGGCACTGGTAGCTCATGCAATGCAAAGCTGTGCAGAATGTGCTATGCTGACTATTATCACTACAAGCGCTCCTCTTCCATGATTGTATGTTCCGGGTCCATCGTAAGGATCGTCACCTTGCAAAATGCGTCGCAGGTTGGATTCTGTGAATCATTATAACATGACAGATCTTGCATGAAGGCTGTGCTCCAGACGGACTCCAAGGTCTCCTCAACATCACCCTGATGCAAGCTGAGGTGACAGGGATTCAACTTTCCGGTAGCTGTAGCGTAGCCACTTGATGGGCCAGACTGTTTTGCCTTTTATACAACAGCCCTGGGGTTGTCGGCTTTGAGGCTCAGGGCTCACTGCTCCCGCAGCTCTGTACGATAAAAGGAGAAAGCTGAGTGTCTCGAGACTGCACGTTTTGCGGGGTCGACTATTGCCGTTTTCTTGCTCACAACAACCCATGTGATCGTAGATAATCGTAGACAGGCTTAGGCTCAGGAATCCTTGCCTTTTGGCCTTACTTGCTACGAGTAGAAAGGAACAAGTGTAAGGCCTGCTTTTCCAAGAAGCAAGGCCCTTCAGACGAAGGGGCTACTGTAGCTGTTGAACATTCCATGAAGAATGACAGAAAGCGCCGAAAGAGAAGACCGGATAAGCCTTCAAAAGAAGACTTTCAACGATCCCCTAGCTTTTGGGACGACAGTCGGCCCTCCTCTACGGCACAGCTTCAGTCTCCGGCTACTGCATCCAAATCCGCAGGTCATTCCATGCTGTGGTAAAGCGTCTGGCTGCAGAGCTGTACCAAACAGCAAACCATCATGAAGTCTTGTGCCTTCTGATGCCAGACATCATAGAGGCCGGCAAGGAAGAGTGGAGCGTGCTGCGGTCCATCCAACCTCAACGTCACTTGTCGGACCGTCAGCCATTCTTTGAACCCTGGCGTCCGAAATCAGACGGCTCCTAGGGTCCTTGGGATAGTATAAGTCAGCATAGGATAGCAACAAAGCAACATGAGCCACATCGGAGCAAGGCCAGCAAAGAAAGGTTTTGCGCTAGGAAGCTGACTCTTTTTCATCTGGCTCTCCAACCTTCTGCAAATCCTGCAGCGTGTCACAACTTTTTTGGGTCATGCTCCAAAAATGTGAGCTTTAGTCAATTTTCTGGTATGCTCTACAGCGGGTGTGCAAACCTGCCTCGCTGGTCTTTGAACGCCAGGGGATGGTGTGTCCATCATACCTGAAAGTGCATACAAAATCCACGCGAAATTCTCACACTGACGCCTTCTGAGAGTGGCTAGCCTGCACTTCATTGCGAGACGAGGCGCTCATCTCTATTTCGGATGAACATGGGCGTTTTTGTCTTTCCATGTGCCTACAGGATGAATTCGGCATGGTTGCTGTCAACGGTGACTGAAAGTTACAGATACTAACGAATGGGAGCTCTCATCATGGAGCAAGCCAGCCAGCGCACAAAAGAGTCAGCAACAGCAACAGACTGCAGCTTGTGTTGAACAGTAGATTGCTCCAACCAACGCCTATGTGTATGCGGGCAACTTCGACATCTAGGTGTGCGCAAGCTTGCGTCAGCCATTGTTGCTTCTGGCGTGCTGCCAGGCCTTCCACTCGTAGAAGCCGTCAAAAAGGACCACACATCGCCGTTTGTCAAGCAATCGACGCCACAGGTTACTGCTTTCGGCGCCTGCGCGCCGACATGCGGTAAAGACACGGAGATGCTCAACTTCACAGCCAGTTCTGTGCCATGTTCACAGATTGAGCCAAACAAAAATGATCTTACTCTTGAAGCCAATTATTAAGTAGAAGCTGTTTTGGGAAGCCAGCTAGCATTTGTCTTTACGCCTGCTACCCGCCTCCTTGACGCTCCTAACGGCCTGCTCACATCTGCTCGCGCTCCCTGAATTTGTTCTTGAATATCTGCCAGGGCTTGAACCCCTCGACCATCAAAGACACTTTTACTGCCGGCTGCCATCAGTGCTCTGCATTGCTACGCCACATATTCAGCTCGCACACTCATGCGGCAAATATTACACGTCGCTCAGGGCTTTTGCCTCCACATCTGGTGCGGAATGCTGCGCGCGTTCGTGCGGTGGCACTGTGCAGTGTTGCAAATCCAGCACACAAGCAAACCAGCAACAGCTTCTGTTGCCAGCTTCCTCAGAGCATCTAGCTAGTAGCTTTGCAGTCTAGAATGCTCCGAATCAAAGAGCCAGGCTCTTCTGGTACAGGTGCAGGCCCTCCCACCTTCGGTGCAGCTGGCGAACCAAAACTGGAAAGTCTGGTAGCCGCGCCCAATTTGGGCACTTTGCTTGCGCCGAGCCCCAAGGGCTTGTAGGGCGAGGACTTTCCATTCGGAGCTGCGTGCAAGGACTGGAGCAAGGACCGCTTCAAAGGTCGGAGTGCCGGCGGCGAAGGGCTTACGGGTTTCGTGGCGACCTTGGGCCTTGCAAGCAACGGAGACGCCAGGGATGGTGTTCCTGGCACATTGTTGATGAACTCGTCTAATGTGGCAGAGCCATCATAGTTGGCTAGAACCCAGCGTCGTCTTTCTGCGGGGAGCTTTGCCAAAGAAATCTTTGTCTTAACGGGCACTAGGCTGTGCTTGGAAATGAAGGCATCAATCTGCTCCAGCTCGGCACTTGTACTTTTCATATTCACTGCCTTAAAGGGCACTGGTTGTGCCCTGGATAGCTTGGGCACGGGTTTGGGGCCAGCAGGCAATGCAGGCCCTGCTGCCAAGCTGGCTGCTTTGGCTGCTTTTGGGTAGCCGGTAAAAAGAACTGGCCTCACGCTGAGCGTTGGAGCTTTGGCCTTTGCTGGTCTGTAAACCGAGCTATTTGGCTTGATTTGTACTGCCTTTGCTAAAGGCACCGCCGTTTCGGTGGTCATTGCGCCCTTCGAATCCATCGAAGCGATGCGATCGGCCTTGAGCAGAGGGGTCCAAAAGCGTTTTTGTCCGTTCTCTCCGTTCTCTTTCGGCATGTCGTCCGGCAATTTTACATCTTCCAGTGGGCTAGGCTCAGGGGCAGAAGCCTCTTTTCTATGAGCTTCCAGGAGTGCCAAGTCAACCTCCATGACATCCGTCTGCCATCGACCGTTTTTGAAATAGTCATGGGGGCTGGCCAGTGGATACAGCTGCAGGACCCGTCGAAACAGCTCCGCGCCGCCAAGCTCCAGACCTTCCCCATCGCTCTGAGCCTCATCCATCAAGGCCCCTAAAGGCCCCTGGCCTAGAGAACCCAGTGTCTGAAGATGTCTGCAGGTTCCTGATTGCTTTTTCCTCCGGCTACCATCTCTTGCCGCTGCTTGTTATTGTGGACTGCTTTACTGCCTTCAGGCGTACCAAAACGGCACTTCTGCAGCCCTTGGTGTTTGAACCAAAGTTTGGACCATCAGCGATGCCAAAAACCAAACACAGCCGGATGAGAAGGCTTCTGAAAAACGGGTGCAGGCTAATTTTCTGATTTCTGGGGAAAAAGCCACTGTGTCATCATCATATTCCCGCACAGGAGGAGGTCCATGACATTCGCGCAGCAGAGACGTTGGGATACCATACTATAAATATCTGTATGGTTAGCAAACAACTTTCGTTGGAGCTCCCATTGCTCTTGACTTTGCCCTAGCGCACGTGGAAGCCTTCAACCCGAGCATTGAAGGTGCTGCTGCCACCCTTGAAGGCATCGAAGTCCTGCATGAAGGCATGACTTATGAAGGCTCAATAAGCTCACTGCTGGCTGACCTCTGCTCGCTTGGCAAATGCCGGAACCAGGCCCCAGCGCATGGCACAGACCTTCAAAGCTGAACGGACTAAGATCAAGCATGAACAAAGTTACCAATAAGGACGTCTTCACTCCAACCAAACATAGCCATGTTATCTCACCTCGCGGTCCAATGCTGCTTCCTGACCACCTTGATCAAGCAGGTGCTGAAATCCTTGTTGCGTAGTTGCGGGTCCAGGAGGATGTTTTCAAGCAATTCTCAAGTTTTCATAAGGTGCTTTGTATGCTCAGTGCCCTACCGCATCAGCAGTCTGGGTGACAGGGATGACGGTGTCAAACTAGGTGCCGTGCTTCCTTCCAACGTTCGAACCACAGGGACGTAATTCATGGGACCCAAGTTGTACCTTGTGGTTTTGAGCCCGGCATGGAGGCAAGCGAGACGCTCGATATACCACGCTCAACATGATCTGGAGCAGCGCACTTCTTCCGGAGGCGGTCACTGCCACGCAGAGCTGTCCTACCTCCATGTCCCTTGGTACTTGACATACGACTTGGTGTACGACATTTCAGGATGTCCATCCAGCAATGCTCAGCTCATACCAGACACTGACAAATGCAATTGATGCTGTCAGACTATCGGACTGCCTTTACCCAAAACTTTACCCGGGATGCAGGCGCCAGCAATTCTTCTGCAACGGTCTCCTGACAGCGTTAGCCTGAGATCCCACAGGGTACTGCGCTCTTGAAGAAAGTAGAGCTCTGCGTCTGGTTGCGCTTTGGAACGTCCAATGAACAGCTGAGCCGAGGACGCCCCACGGCCACACATGTTGTAGGGTCGTTAGGACAACATGAAACGAAGAGAATAGCCCGCCACGTAGGTATCTACGCTCACGTTTACGTATGTAAGCATGCTGTTGCATGTTTTTGCCTGATGCCACCTCTTGTTTCTACAGTACTCATAAATGAACGCTCAGACGGAATTCTCAAGCCAACCCTTTGTTGACAGTGAAACGGGGACCACGTCCCGAGGGCGCTAAGGAAGTGGGTTACCCACTGAGCCCGAACGCTCCTGGCCAGCCATCTTGTGCCGCCTACTGATTCGTGAGCATTGACAAAGCTGCTGCAGGCAGGCAAAAGTCAATCTTTTGCGCATGATTGCGGCCCGTGTGACGTTGCTATATGTACGCACCTTCACTTGCTCGCGCAGAACCGCTCGTCGCAAATGACTGTATCTTGTATTGGGGTATCTGGGAGCGAGCCGCAGCAAGAGTATGGTCAAAGAGGCTCCGTTTATCTCTTTGGCCTCATTCTTGGGGCAGGGCTCTCACTGCTTGGCGAAAGCAATCTTCAAGGCCATGTCCGGTGTCACCTAGCCACAGCACGGTTCTGCGTTTGAAGCTTGCTCTCGTCTAGCTGCTTCCTACTACCCTTTCGACCGCGTTGCGGTTTCCTGTGAGTCGTGTTGGTGGACGGAGTGGCTGATTGGATGCCCCAGCTACTATCCTGAAAGGCTACGTGCAATGTTTGATGACTATGAAGGGAGCAGTTTTCTGCAGAGCGGCTTTGATCCAATGCTGGAACATCTCTCGTAAAGTGCTTGAACCCGACACCAAGCTCCTGGCCATGAAACCCTGCAAACCGTGCTTTGCGATGCCGGCCTGCCAGGGATCACTCTGTATACTCAGCTTTCACACTCAACTCTGTCAAGGATATGTGTAACACTCCTTGAATTCTTGAATGGTGTCTTCTTCACGAGTGAGATGCATTTCTGAACTACCCGAGCTCCGGCAGCACTGCGATGTGACGAATCTTCTGCGTTGTGAGGAAGTTAGCTGCAACAAATGACTTTCTGCTTCCTTCATGGAACCTAAACCAATTAAACTCTCTAGCATGAGTGTGGTATCAGCCTGCAGCTCGTCTGAGTACTCGATGAAGGCTACGTTGCGGCCCTTGATGAGCCGAGCCTGTCGTGAATCGTGAACGCGATGGAGCAGAATGTGACATGCTGAGGCTGCTTAAGCTCTGCGGAAGCTCGGTGCACCTCTTGGAAGCCAGGATACTGCCTGAAGAGCATGGTGAGCATCAGCTCGTTCACCTCTCAGAGCAGATGGCTTTCACCATCAGCATTTCACAGGTGATGCACAGGTGCTGACTGCTTCGAATTTCATGAGCGCAGTCATAGCCTCTGCTGGCAGATTCTCCACGAAGAGAACGTTGGAAGGCTGACCATCAGCTCCTCCCTCCCTTGGCTGACTGCGGTCATGAGACTTGTTGTCAGCGTACGTCTGTCAAGTGTCCCATGCCAGTTTCTGGCTCCCTTTTCAGGATCATGATTCAACACCCCGAGCATGACACATGTTGCTTGCTGTTGACAACTTGTTGAGCTGGGCCCCCAGCCCTGATGAGGGGTGAGCCGCCATCTTTGGCCTGCATTTAACACTTGATCCCGTCCTTCAACAAGAATGCTCTAGAATGCTTACTTTGGGACAAGGGAGTTGCGATTGCGCAACATGATTTTGAATCGCAGGTACCTGGTACCTGGCGGGCTGGTTTCTAAATGTAATTGGCGGCCGATATGCAGCACTATTTTGAATGCTTTTCAATTGGATGCACTTGGCTTACAAAACCAGCACGGGACAGCTAAAGACCAAACCCCTCAGAACCTTCGGAAATTTTACTAAGAAGATGAAGGCGATGTTCTTTTTTTTGAGGGAACGGTTCAATGATCATGAGTTTAAATTTGCTGCACACGGTGTAGCCTTTAGTCCTCAGCAAGCGCTTCGACAGGCAGTGCAAGACGTGCTGCACACTATCACTAAGTCACAATTTAGCTTGTTACTGCACGCAGTTATACGCAGTTTACCTAATCATCCCCTCCTTCTTGGGTGTGACATAGTGGCATACTTGAACACAGAGTCAGCAGTGAAGCGACACCAAGCAGAGGCCGGTTGGATTCTGAGCTGTTGACTGGATGCTCTTTGGCGCTACGAGTGCTGGCGCAGTCTTTGCCCTGTCGAAAGTTTCAAGACCGGGAAGCAATCTGCATCCATCTCATTTCTGTGCCTCTTCGCTTCCTCCTTTTGGGCTTCGAGCTTCGCACGTGGCTTCCAAGTGCCGTCCTGATATTTAATGAACCATTGATTCTTGGTCAGGCAATTCCCTTTTCTCTTCAGCGAGCGCAGCGGGGGCCAGTCCTCGTGTGCTACAACGTCTGATTTTGTCCTGCTGCAGCTGCGGTCACCCGTCTCATGTCTGCAGCTGTTGCAGCACCTCAAACAAAATACAAGTTTGGCCTGCAGTAATTGATCTTCATGGGCTTGTCCAAAAACACGAAGCCGTTTAACGATCGAAGCCTGGTCCATACATCTGTGCATGCTGTTCTGACATCTACTGAATAGAAGCAATGAGTCAATGAACAACTCAGCGGCTGCCCATCGAACAAACTACAGTTGCTACGCTGCTACGCGTACGCTGCAGACCGTCAGGAAGCAAACGTGAGGAGTTGACGCATTCGTGGCACAGGATATGTCTCTGAAGACCACGAAGGCCTTCCGATATCGAAAGCTCAATCTGTGGAGCATCCTGTTCTTCAGTTCAAGCTGCAGCTTCTTTTGCAGGTGGCGCACCTGACCCTTCTTCTTGAGGCTGGATGCGGCAACGATATCAATGACCTGCGACCAAACGTCGAGTGCTTTTTGCAAGTCACTTTCTGGACACCATTGTAAGCCTCGTACTGCTTGCCAGCGCATTAGGTAGCACATTCATTCACACTCTGTCGTGAACTGGTGTTTGACTGTGTCATGTAATTCACACGTCAATCTTCATGTTGTGAATGCGCAGGGTGGTTTGCAGAAGAGCTTCTGCCTCGCCGTAGCTGGAAAAAAGCTCCAGCAGGCAGTTCTTCAGCTCTGGCACCTTGATTTTCTCATTCAGCCCGTTGACCTGGTATCAATTTCTAGCTTCATATCAGGGCATATCCTCGACAAGTTTTGGCACAGAACCAGGATGGCCATAATCAAATCCACATGCCAGTGCGGCGTACAGCGTCTGGTTAGGCGGGATGTCACCTAAGGCTTCATGATGTTGTTGGCGTATTTTGCTCCTCCTGAATCTGCTGTTGTCGTTTTTACTAAGGAGCAGGCCGTAGTTGACGCCGCCTTTGCCACCTTGTGGTCGAAACATGGCTCTAGAGCCACCCGCCGTCCCCAAAGAGCGGCAACTGATTAGCCAGAACTGCGGCAGAATCAGATTTCACTCCAAGCTGTGCTGCAACAATGCGTAGCGCCGGTAGGTCTTAGAATTGGAATCTAAACAACTAATGTAATTCAGTTTCTCACCCAGCCTGGGGGCTGGTGGCAGCTGGTGCAACCCCAATACTTTGTTCACTGGCTTGCTCAAATCAAGTCGAATCTTTTGTTGCCGCTGCCGCGTGTATCAATCATCATGCCCCAGGAACATCAGCCTCAGCATTTCAACATTGCAAGCTTCGTGAGGATGTCTCAGCATGTCCGAATCCAAATGAGCCATACACCAGGTCAAGAAGGGCAGGGAGTTCCCGGTTTGATGAATCTCGTCTGCTCGGTTTCTGCAGTTTCCTTGCGTAGTCCTATTAGGATCATTAGGCTGATGCGCGTGGGTCTGATTTTTGGCAGCACACCTGTTGTAATTGTTCTGCTCGTTGGGCACGAGAATCACCTTCGTTGGGAGCTTCTGGAAGAGCTGTGCAGCCGCCTCGTCATTCCATGGAGCTAAATTTCAATGCTTTCCATACTTCTCTGAAGCTTGACAAGCTTGCAAGACCCTGCAGAATGCTGGCGGAGGACCTGCATCAACTTCTCGGAGCAGCTCAGGGTCAGCACCTGCGAAATCAGGATAAAACGTGCTCAGGATAAAGACATGCACTTGGGACATGCAATGCAAATGGTCATCTCCGTGGCACTGAGCCTTGAGAGATGTATCTGCAAGTGCTGCTACAAGTGGCTTGCCCAGCGCCTGTCAGTTCCGCAGTGACAAATTACCAAGCACTGGCTGGCTAACAAGCAGTGAGCCTCCATCCAACAGTCCACATGGTGCGCGTTGGCTGTCACATCCTAACAGAAACAGCTAGACCGTTCTCCGTCGCAGCTGAAGATCATGAAAGGGCAGCGTGCACAACTCAAATGTCAAACTGGTCACTAGCTGCCGATCATTCTTCTGCCCTTGCATGTAGCGTCACAGAAAGGGAGTCCAGTGATCGAAGTGATGCAGATGCAGTGACAAGCCGCAGCCTCGAGCACAGCGAGCACAGCATCAAGGTGCGACTTCAGATGCCAAGATGCAAAAGAGCTGTCATGTAAAAGGCAAGAGCGGCCCAACACGAGGTCATCTAGATTGAGAAGTAGATCCACCCCGCTCAGGTGCTGTGTGCTGATCGAGCTGACTTTGCGATTTGTCTAGTTGAGAGGCCCCACAGCTGGGCCTTACTCTGATGACACTGGTGCCAGGTTCCCCTGAGGCCGGGGCAGGCCGACTGGATCAATGCCACAGCGGTATACTGATAAATCCTCGCCAAACTTTTGCAGCTTCTGTACATTTTCACTGCTCCGCTCGCATAGACAGCACTGTCCCGGAGAAAGGCAACTTCCAGGAGCTGTGCCAGGAGCTGGGCACCCGCTGGTCCAACACCTGAAAACTCGACATATCTCCTCTACATTTGTGCTGCAATTGACTTCGAATCACAACCTGCTGCATGGAAACAGCTCGGCTTACATTTGCTCGTTCTGCAGGAAGCTGCCCTTCTTCGACTAAGCAGTTTGTTAAACCGTTGGCAGATCTGCGAACAGCTTTTTTTTTTTTCTCTTGTTTCAGAATTTGTTAGCATCATACTTCTAGCGTATGTGCCTACATGGTGAATCAGTGAATGACTCCGAAGCAGCCGAGGGGCTGCACTCTGAGAGGTCCAGCAGTCGTAGCGTTGCGTGGAAGGCTTCGCATGCTGCAATGCGTTGCCACGAGGCCTTGACCCCTTAAAATACCATCTCACGCAGCTAGACTGTCATCAAAACAACGACGTTGCCAAGACTTCCTAGAGATCGAGCCTCGCCTCCAAATTCCAAATTCAGAAAGCTGTTGCTGCAACAGCGGAAGTTGCAGGTCGCAGGTGAACAGGAAAGCACAATGCGCAAGGATAGTTAAACCTAAGGTGAGTCAAGCGCATTGCATGTTGCCGCTCACTAATGCCAACATATGCTAACAGTTCTGCGCTGCGCTGTTATATGTTTCATCTGATCAGCTAGCTTGGCAAGCAACTGAAATCCGACCACTGTTTTGGGTAGAGAAGTGATGTATAGTGAGCTTGGGCCACTGCATATGTAACGGCAGCATTCCCACCTCAGCTGGAGCAACGTGGTCTCTTCTGCGCAGCCTGCTCCGTGTTTTCTGTCAGGCTAAGCTGGCAACTCAAAACCAAACCCTCGATCTCCAAAGCAGCATGGCTTTGGCCTGATGCCGTCAGACAACAGATGTTAAGCTTCAAGCACTTTCCAGCTATTCCGTGGGTCTGCTTGCGCTCTCACAAGGGTGCTTGTTTTCAGTTCACCGCTGGCAGAGAACCTACCTGCTCCGGGGGTCAGCATCAACAGCAGGGAGCCGATGTCGTCGTCTGTGAGGCCATTGCCGCTCCTGAGCATCAGGTCTTCTTGGCGGTCGGAGGTGGGCAATGCAACGCTTTGATACTGAGTGCAAGGGGGTCTAGTTTCCTCTGCAACCTTCTTTGACGTCTATGCTTGGCCAGCAATGGAACATGTTCTGCCACGGCTCAAGTCCAGAACCTCTAGGTGTCGAGGATGATCCCTGCAGAAAGCCTGAACCGGCAGAAAGGCGCAGCCACAAGAAAGTGCTGGTCAGTGCATCCCTGGGCTGCTCGAAGCTCACCCGTGTGTAAACAGCTAAACTTGTGCACTTCTATCGTTCGCATTTTAGAGGGCTTTGTTGTAACCGGGCACATGGCATTTGACCCAACCTTTCAGAAGTGGCACAGCCACCGGTATGGCTGTCAGGCCTCAAGAAGAGGTGCGATGCCTCCTCGCAGTGCCAGGTGCTGCAGTCCTCAGCCCGACTTGCTTTTTGCGCAAGCGGCTGGTTTGCCTTCTGGGTAGACTTGTGCACCAGAGAAAACAATTGAAAACTCTGCCTAATCTTGCAGGAATCGAAGTATTCGCAACGAAGAGGGGTGAAGTGCGGCCCCGAGCAATGCTGCACGCTCAGCCGCACCGCGCAACCTTTGCATTGACGCAGGAGCTCAAATAGCTGAACCAACAGAGGAAAGCGTGCTTGCGTGGCACCTGCAGCTACAATATATGGTAGTGACTGGTAAGACAAGTGGCTCAACAATCGAAACACTTCGCAATGCCCAAGATGTCCAGGTTGGACTCAATCGGATGAAGGCCTGATGTGGCAATTGCACACCTTGAAGCCCTGGAAACAGCGAAGGCTCATAGCCTCAGCCTGATCGCAAGAACCAAGTACAAGAGTGAGCAAATTGCAATTCAACTGCCTCAACGGCTGCTTCAGGAGCTTCGCAGTCTGCTCCTGCTGTAGTATGACTGCGACAGAAGCAGGCCTCTTGTCCTGCACACAGGTCATGTGCAACATGCCCTTCTCTGACCTGACTGATGGCTCGGCCATGCTCAGCTTAGGGTCCCCAAGGCCCCAGTGCCAGCGTCTTCGGAGATGGAGCGCCCCGTCGCATTGCAGAGGCACATGCCTAAAGCAGTGTGGTGTGTTCCGGAACGGCCGCAATGGAAAATGTCAGTCTGCCTCCACCAGCGCGGCAACATCTGCAGCACTGCGAAGCTCCTGTTTTGAGGACCCTTGTGGCTGGAACGCTGAGGAACTCGTCCCATCTCCTCGCTGCTGAGCCGCACGTCCACGGGTACCTCCAGGAGCAACACTCCTAAAGCTCGCCCGACAGCTGGACGAAGCTTGAGAAGTGGTGCATTGACGTTTAGAGAAAGTTAAACTTTGACGTAACTTGATTTAAAGTGCTCCTGGTTTCTATTGGCGAATGCCAGGTTCAGAACCATCTCTCCACGGTCATCTGCTGGTCGCCTCCCTGCGAATGCGCGTCAGCGCCCGAAGCCCAGCCGTGGAAACCCCTTCCCTGACAGAAGTGGCCCGTGATCTTTCGACAAATATGCAGCCATGCTGTTTCACAGGCCAAAAGTTGAAGCAAGTACGCCTTCTCCCTGGCCCAACTGCAGGAGGAGGCGGTTCCACCACATCTGTTGCAGTGATGAGCGTATTGAGCGTAGAGACGTTCTCGGACCTTGCATTCAGGGATGCATGCTGTGAGCACTATGTATCCTTGCGCCGCACAATGCGCATGCCTGGAAAGCTTTTGCGCACGCTTGCGTCGGATGCTTTGTGAAAAATAAAAGGGGGACTGGCTGAAAATTCACGTCCCTGGCAAACAGTGACATGATGATTGGCTTCCAAGCACTTGCCTGGAGAGCATTGCGAGCCACGTCGAGAACACCCTTGAATTCGTTGCCCTTGCAATACCTACTGAGATTTGGTGGCTAGTGTTGGACAAGGCAGGCTTGAGGGTTGTAAAAGCAGCTGATGTCTGAGTCTGAGTTTCATGTCTGTGCTTCCGCAGGTAACAGGGGCTTTGAAGCTGGAAATGACCTGTCAAGTCATGCTTTGCCCAGCTTTGTCTAGCATCTGCATCTTCCAGACCCACGGAGCCTTTACAGCACTCTCCCGACTGACAAGTGCATTGACCGCGTGGCATTCTCCATGGAAACTCCGGGTGCGCTGCCTTCTAGCACTAAATTGCGCGAGCCATTGCGTAAACACTGAAACTGCCTTGCTTCCATTCTTATGTGTGCTGATCCAGGTTAGTGCTTGAAGGCACAGCAAAAGCCCACATCATTTTGCCACAGTGGATGCACGACATAGGACATGCCGTATCAATGTTTCAGCGTTGAAGACTCCATCCTAGACTGCTATTCACATTATTCACAAATCTTTATCGCAGGCCGCATGACATTCGTCCAAATGTGGATCTTGCAGAAATTGAAATTTCTTACCAGCACACTGTCGCTGCAGGAATCACAGCTCGGTCACAAGCCTGCTCTCTATACAGAAAAATCTATGCTTGCCTTGCACACAGCCAGCCTTTAGACAGCAAATTTTTGTGCGATCTCTGGCAGCAAGATAAAGGCTAAGGTAATAATGGCAGGGAGGACCGGTGCTTTCTTGTTGAAGTCATTGACTTTCGCTCGAAGCTTCCTGAGCAACAGCGCATGGCAGCCCTGAGGGCATCTGTAACGACGCGCACCATCCATCCCATCTATGAAAATCGTGTTGTCTGATGCTAGACTATATCTGAATAGATTTTGAACTCTCGAGAATACTGAAACTTTTTCTGGGGCACTTCATGCTAACAGCAAGATCATGAATCGTGGCTTGCGTTCTCGCCTCAACCTGTTCGGTTTAGCTGGTTGGCTCCTTAACTGAAGTGCTTGCTGGAAATTGCAGAGCATTAGTCTTCAAAGGGGGGTACAGTAGTCCAGCACATCTTCCTGCTCTTAACAGTGGGCATGATTCTGGGTCGACCAGTCCAAGATAATCCGAAAGGCTTGATGGGTTTGGGCTGGATCTGTTCGGATTTAGCGGGTGACTTCTTGCTTGGTAGGTTGGCCCTTGACTGGGGCCAAAGGCAAGGATCTGCACAGTATGAATTGCTTCTTCCAAAGCCACTGCCCAGTTCGCAGTTAAACTGCAGTCTCTATAGCTCTATAGCTTTATCTAATGCGGACCTTCATAGGATTGGCTCTGGTCGGGACTTTGCCTATCAGAAAGGATACTTTTGACACGGTGTCTATTCGGGGTGAAGCTTTATCCGATGAGGTCCATTTTCTGACGACTTCAGGTCGTCACAACCATAGCTTGCAACATTATCATTTTGCACCCTCTTGGTTCGAGCCACGAGGCACTCCACATGAGTCTAGGTCAGCAAAGACTCCTTGCAAGGTCCTGATCTTCGATTTTCTGCATGCCAGTTCCATCAACGTCCCAGAGTCCAGCTTGGCCAATGTTTCAGAGACCCTCCTGCACATATTCTTCAGCAATCTGTGTCCTCCCGACTTTTCGCTGACAAGCTTCCTCTCGGTTCCCTTCATTGTCTCTATCCGTTCAATCAAGCAGAGTTCAAAGTCTTGTGTGCTCAGAGTTGTGGGCTTGTACGCTTGAGAATACAATGCCACTTGATTTCACTTCCGGGTGTTGGATTCTCTATCATATTGCTAGCTGCTATCTCATTCGATCACCTCCGTGCTGCTCTTGATTATTGAGTTTTGTCTAGAGTTCAGGGCGGCTATGGGCGGCTTGGCCCCAGGGTGAAGCAACGCAGGAAGCTCAAACAACTGGGGGCTCGAGTTCAGCATGTCAATGCTAGCCAGAAGACCAGTCCTCTGCGGACGTGACGAAGCCTTGGTGCACTGGACCTCTGTCCCAAAACCTCCCGAACCTTTAGACCCAACCTTGAACGCCTAACCCAAAGCCACTGAACTCAAACCCTTAACGTTTTTCCCTAAGCTGAAACCTTTACCCAACAGCGAAGCCTTCAGCCACAGCAAATCAAAACCTTAAATCCCTGAACTCAAGCCTCAATTTCTAAAACCCTAAACTACACTCCAAGCCCCTCAACTACAAAACCTCAACTCTCAAACCATCTTAAACTACCAGTAAAGCCCAAACGCCTCATGCAAAACCCTGAACCGCTGGGGTGGTGGTTTGGGAAGGCAGACGCGCCATGGCAAGGGGTAGTGGCAGGGTTGTGATGACCCTCAGGTTACGAAGAACTTGCTATCCTTCATCAATAGCTGGCCCAAATGTTGTCCGCGAATAAAGCTCTATTGGAATTTGCAGTCTCTGGGCTGCACAAAGCTTCATAGCTTGTTTGAGAGATGGAGGACTGGAAGCAGGTAGCAAATTCATGTCGTGAGACGAGGTCCATCACAAGCTGAGCAACCTCCCGACAAAGCCACGACTGGAAACAGCGCTGCTCGGCTGTACCTGAAGACGGACTTGGAATGCTTCAAGTCATAATGAGAAAAACCTCTTGAAGCCAAGACAGCCGAGTAGCCACGGCGCAGAGGTTGCAAGCAGAAACCTTGCATTCTTTCATGAGGTCGCTGGGAGCTTGCAGCAAGTGTTATCTGTTGATCAAGGCACGCCGCGAGTAGCACTGCAACGACGGCGAGAGCGTAGCCCGCCACCTTCCCAAAACATCCACGGCTAGCAGAGACTCAGCATGTGACGTTTGTAATGTTGGTCCAGCCTTGCGTCTCTCACGCTCCTCGGCGTCGATATTGACCTGGTATGGAAGCAGCAGCTTGGCAGCGGAGCATGGTGTTGCTGGCCTGCTTCGCCAGGCTTCCTTGCCAGACTATCAACTTCGTCGTTACCACGTGCTAGGTGCCAGAGTGCCCTTCGCTGCTTGCTGGTTGTGTGCTGCGTGCTTAAGCCTCAACTGCACGAATGCCAGTGACCACTGCATCCCTGAACATACTATTTCTGCACATGTTTCGTATGCTTTATTTTCTGTGCCAAAATGTGCCAGGTAACCAGCTCTGCTGCGGCTTTCTCTCGGAGTTCAACGCGACGCCTGGGGAATACAGAGTTGAGCTTGCAGCCGCAGTGCAGCAGGCTAGCAGCCCTGCCCTGATGGGAATCTTGAGATTCGTTTTACATGGCTCAAGTGTGATGTTGTACCCTGTTAGTTGGCCTCTCCGCAGCATCGCTGCGATCGACTTGTCCAACATCCTCCTGTGCCACCCCGATTGCATTTGACGTGCGAACTTATCCCAGCAAACGTACATGGCATGTATGTAGCCATGTCTGCAATGCGTCGCACAACTGGGAGTTAGGAAACCTTGCGAGCGCTGTCGTCCTTGAGCAGACCCCATTTCACGCGAGATCCCTCCGCCTTGCTGAAGAGATCCAGCTGCACGCCTCTTCTTGAAGAGACGTTTCTCTGTTACATTTGCATTCCTGGGAGGAGTTAGTTGCACCTAGAGGATGCGGTGTGAAACGGAGCAGCTTCAGAACACTGCAGGCCTTGGTCACCAACTCGGAGGGGGGGTCCAGCCGAGAGAGCCTCGCCAGCATTCGAAGACGCAGTGCTCGCTACATGTTACGGGGACTTCAAGTCGTCTTTCTGGATTGTGCTGACGTGCAGAACCGGGGTAGGAATTTGACTTATGCTTGAGCAACCTGCCTTCGCAAAAGGGTCGGAGAAGTCTTGGCTTGGTAGATCGTCCTGCGACTCGTAGGAATAACTACGTCATTGCCTGCAAGTATGCAGACTCTGAGAAGATCTGAGTTTTGTGATTTGTCGTGCAAACATTGTGTCAACATCATGCCGTCACGTTGCCATCCCAGGCCCCCGCTCGCCTCCTTCATGGCCCTCAACTGCACGCGCAGACCACGTGCAACGAAGAGAGATGCGCTCTGAGCAATGCCGAGATAGACAAACGCAGCCAGCGATGCCTCGCAAGTGCAACCGAAGCCAACGCATTTCGCAGCATGTGAACCTTCATGTTTTAGGACCTTCCTGGAAGTACAAGTGGTAAGCATGAGAAGTAGCCAAAAAAAACATGTTCCTACCACAGGCCTCCCTTGGCCGTCCTTGTTGGCTGCCAGGCTCCACAGACACACCGTCGGCCCGACAATGTTTCAGAACTTCCACATTTGGCCGTTTAAATTTTGCACGAGCGAGGCAGTGCGGATCAGTGGGACGTGCATGTGGTAGAAAAAAAACCATGAACTATTTCCAAGGAACCAGGACGGCACATCGAAGCTGACGGCGCGGCGACCTTCCAAACGGCATGGCTGGCTGCGCTGCCTTGCTCTTCTGACCGGCTGAGTAGCTGCAATTGATTGTGTGCCTTCTTGCTCAGAGGACTTAAAGATGGCTGTTGACCAAGCGCGCCAGATACTTCTAACCTCTGCCATCACTGATATGCGCATTACGCCAAAGTGTCTCAGACTCCACATGTACGGTTCTGCGGGTTTGGCCTTTTGAGCCAAGTCTGTGGGTCAAAGCGTAAGCTGAGTCTTCTTCAGAGGATTGGCCAAAAGTAAACTCGTGACCGAGCATCAGGCTCGCCGCGACTGCGGTTTGCAACGCCCCAAATTCTCATCCATCGGATCCAAGGCCAAGAGGCGAACTAAAAGGACAGTTTCTTTGAAGGACTCGGCTGCATGAAGGTGTCTGAACGTTGCAGAGACGCTTTGAGAAAATGTGGTAGGTGAATGGTATAGCCTGTGCATGCTTGACCGCGCATCTTGGAGAGTGAAAAGACATTTGCAGGTGGGATGCTTGGCAGCACCATGCCTCAAATGGCGGGGTTGGCAGCTTGAGATTAATCCATCTGCTCATTGATCAGCCAGGAGATTGTGCTGAAATCTTTTGCGCTGCAAAGTCGAGGCAAGGCTCGGCTCAGCTACATCATGAAGATGTTGCTGAAGTGAATCGATGCGAACCTGCATTTCTCAGAAGCGAGAGCTGCTTGACTCAGATCTCGGTGTTGGCATGTCTTAGCGATTTTTGACATTTACGTACACCAATTGTAGCTGGCGTGCATGGGGTGGCTGCTTGTGCCTTCTGATAGTGCTCTAGTAGCTTTGGGTGAGCAGGCTCTAGCAGACTTGGACGGAAACCCCAACCAGTCGAGCAACTCTAATAATTCACAGGCTCCAGAGTTTCAGGGGCTTACGTGGCTTTGGGAACTCAAGAATCATGTTACTTTAGCTTGGCCAAGGCAAAATAACAGCATGCTTAACAGGTTGGTTAACATCATCGTGAGGTTCTGGAGGAAACTCGCTACTGTACGCTTGCCTCGCGCACTCGTCCTGACATCGCGACAGGGATGTGCTGGTTCCATCCAGGAGCAAGTAGAACTCACGCGCGCACCACCTTGCGGAGTATCCACTGCCCCAGTGGAGTCTACAGCAAAAAAGGACAGCACTGCGAAGACAGTTCTGGCACCGTCATGCTTCACGTCTTGAAGCCCCACCTCTTCGCACAAACCCAGCCGCGGTCAGCGGATTTCCAGGATACCTGCTGGCTCTGACATTTGCATGGATCTACACAGAAACGAAAAATATTAATGTTGATTATGTCTTGAATGTCTCAACGCCTAAGAAAGGTGCCTTGCCTCTCGGCACTTCATCTTTGGATCCTGAAATTTGAAGTTCAATGCCGTAAGGCAAGCAACTGGGTGCATGGCATGTTGCTGAGGATCCAGCTGCCAGAGTTGCTCTCAAGGGTGCAAGGAAGGCCTTGGATGGCAATGTCACTGAAGACAAGCCCAAGGCTCCAGATTCTTCGTTTCACTTTACCCAACAATTCTGTTTGCATTCAGGCCCTCTAGCACCAGAGGGGCTGAACTGTTGTGAGTTTCTTGAGCATCGTGCAAAGTGCAGTGCAATAGCATTAGCCACTGTACAGGAGTGGAGACTTTTTGGAACTTTGTCTGTGCTTGTTTTGACTTCTTTTTGGGGGTGTGGGGCGGGTAGAGGGGTCATGCGCCGGGGGGGGGGGGGGGGGGGNNCGGAGGATTGACAACCACAGGAATTATGGAAAGTCATACAACATTGGTGAAATCGACGAAAAATGACAGAAGCCAATACACATTATGAATAATGCAACAAGAGGAAAATTATGCAAATTGATAAAAAAGAATGAAGATGATGAAAACAATGGAAAACCATGAACACATGATGGAAACAACATGCGAATGAAGAAGTATGATGGAACATGACGAAGAATACAAATAATATGATATAACATGAATATCATGAATAAAAGCGTGCTAGAAGGGATGATGCAATCAATATGAATAATGATAACCCATGAGTGAAACTGATGAAACATGATGCAATATGAGTTGAGATGGGACGGACAAATTTCGAAACATGATGCAATCTTATGAACCACGACGCAATAGGATGATCAATTATAAAAAGTACTTAGTTCAGGTTGGGCGTGGGGGGGTTGGGGGGAGGGGGGGTTGGGGCGAGTTTGGGGGATGGGGCGGCCTCCCCCCCATGTGCAAATGTGAAAAATGATGAGAATCATGAAAACTAATAGAACACGCGATGACAAATGCAGAGCAATGCTCAACACTGATCAAAGTAATTGACATGTTGAAATATTATGAGGCCTGATTGCAATGAACTATATGTAATGAACAATTTGAAATATGATGAAACATGTTGGAAAACAAGGATAAACCATAGAAAATGATTCCCTACAAATGGATGGAACAGGATTTACACATGATGAATGAACATGATGCAAGTGATGAAACACGATGAAACATGGTGAAGTATGATGGAGATGAATAAACTCAATAATGCTAATAAGGTCAAGTGTCACTCGTCCTACAAGCAGGAGTTACATACTGTCCTGCTATCTGTCGTTTTACATTCCATTATTTCTTGTTTTGTTTCTTTTCTTAATTTCTGTTGTCCTGTCCTTTTTTATTTACTTACTAGGCTTACTATGATTGCTACTTTTTTTGATTTCTTTCTTTATTTCTCGCAGGCTGTCTGTCTGTTGTTCTTGCCTACCTTCTTTCTCCCTTTCTTGCTTGCACTGTTTCTCTCTCTTTCTTTCTGTGTCTCTTTAATTCTTGTCTTTCTTTCTTCCTATGCCCCTTTCTTTCTCTGAAGCTTTCCCCATGTCTTTTTTCCCCGCTCTCCTACTCCACACTACACTCTTGTGTCCTTCCTTCATGGCCCGCCTCTACGGAACCAAGGCCCATCGCCCCGGGAAAAAAGAGGCCCACCCAAAACAAACAAGGCACCAAAGTATGTCTCCCATCGCACATCGCAACTCACATCTGCTTAGTTCGGGCATGTTTTGGAAAGTGAAACGCCTTTCTGCGCCCTCCTGGGCCCAGGTTTGACTTCGCCTACCCTGTCCCTATGCAGGCTAGTTGCTTCTCGTCGGCATGAGGTGCATAGCGCACTGGAGCAGATCTTTGAACAACTATTGCAACATATGACAACATCCCCGACGTGAAAGCTCAGCTCCAGGCCCTCTCAGCAGGCTTTGGCCCGGCACTGGACACACGGCTCCCGCCAAGCAGAGACCTAAATTCAAAACCGAGGTATTGTCTTCCTGTGCTTCCACGGTGAAAGGTCGCCAGCATTCCATCCAACTCTCTGCAGACAGGCCCAGTGAAACTGTGGCGAATGTCTGCCCGCTTTGATGCCCCGTGCGAGCAGTCATACCGAACTGTCATAACAGAAGACATCAAGTCATCATTTGACTCTGTTTGCTGTGGGAAAGGTTTGGTCAAAGCGTACATTCGGGGCCCGCATGTAGCTGTGGCTTTAGATCGAACAGCAGCGCAGTTTACACTGCATAGCGCACCTCGAGATGTTGGCCTGCCAATCAAGCCACGCGCCAACTTTCAAACTTGCCATGTACATGTCCTAGACAGAAAGTACCAGGAGATAGCGAGGGATTGAAAAGGAGGGTGAGAAGTACAGCACAGGAGGCCAAGATGAAGTCAAGAAGAGCTTTCAAAAAGAGAGTCTGCCACTGCGTTGCCGTCTGGAACCCAACTGCATGCATATCAATATCTGCTGCTGTGTCGCGGCGTCTCCTTACGTAAGTATGATCTGTGAACAACACATGCCTGGTTGGAAAGCCGCAGCGCATGGTTCGTGTGGTTGTAGTAGACAAAGCGGTACTCATCCTGACCGGAGAGTGAGTGGGGCGAAAAACATTGAAAAACAAAGGAGACGCTAAGGCGTTAAGTTGCAAGGTGCAGTGGCATGCCAGCTCCAGATTTTGCGTGCAAGTTAAGCATGGAGCCAAGCCAACATGCGCCACTCTTTCAGAAGCCCGTCACGTATTGTAAGACCAACGCACAGGCCTTAAACCCAGCGGAAATATCGACTCAGCGTGCTCAGAAGTATCTCTGAAGTGTCCAGCGGATGCTCCACCGGGTCTGACAAAGAGTGCTGCAGCATACGCTTTGGTGGCGTTGTCGTTGGCAGTGATGGCAACCTCGTGATATCTCCTTCAGTCAGGCAGGCCCCATCCAGTACAGCCCTCTCCTGCTCAGTGAGAGAGAAGAGTCTCTTCCTCTCATCTCTCCTAGCCGCATTGAGGAAAGTTTGTTCACTTTCGGAAAGAAAAGATGGAGAAACCCCACTGAGCAAGTCCAAGGCCGCAAGTTGAAGCCTCTCCGTGTGAGAGGTACATTGGCTGCTGCACGGCTGCGGCTTTCCTTTTGCGAGTGGTGGACCTTCCTCCGTCCGTTCTTCGTCTCCACAAGGATAGAAAGTGATGTAGCCTCCTCCCAGCATGCTGGACAAGCTGGCCGTGTGTGCTTTTTGCCGCCGGCTGGTCTCTCCAGGTTGCCGCGAGTTGTCTCCGGAAGGGGCTGGAGCAGCGACTGTCGGCTTCACCACGCTCGAAGTAGCAACTGGCCTGGTGACTTCTGGCTTCTTGATGCTTTTGGCAGTCCTAGCGCTGGTGGGCTGTAGTCCTGGTACCAGCGGCGGTTCATCCTGTACTTCTGCCATGGGCTTGCCGAGAGACGTGAAACTTTATACTTTATAGCTTGATGAAAGTGCTGTAGCACGACCCGAATTTCAAGACCAACATCAACATTGCATCTGTTTAAATGCCTATGCTCATGAGAGAATTGCACATGCAGCTGATGATACATCTGAGCCAAGCAAGCGCTGCCATTGTCAAGCTGCATATAGCTGTCTCAGCAGCGTATATGTGTTTGCAAGTAAACATGGGAGCCATTTGAGTGGATGGTGCGCCTCTTGCTCCATGACCTGGGCATATTGTGGCACTATCAGCGGGTGGAGCTCCGCCAGTGAGAGCCCGTCGCCCTGTCAGGCACGGTAGAAGATGCACAGCAATGCATCCCTGGAGTACTGAGCCCCCCCATTCCATGCACATGGTGCGCATCAAAGCGCTGAGGATCCAGCGGAACTGCGGCTGCACAGGTCTCGAAGTGACTCAAGCAACCTTGCACAAAGTCATTGTCTTCTCTCCTCCCAGCTCTTGTAGAAACTAATTTGCTTTAATTTTGAAGCCAGAAAGCCTCACATCTATATGCACCTCCGCGTCGAAGACCAAGACGAGCATGATCTGTCACAGTGTGGGCATGTCATGGCTGAACGGCATGTTTGCAGGAATTCATTCCTAAAGCGCTGCCCAAGGTGAAGCCAAACATGGACGTGAAGAAGCGGATTTGTCCATTCTTCAGTTTGAAGACATGCATGTGGTCCCGTGCAAAGCTGGCCCCACGAAACGTGAGCGCCACCAGCTGTCCACGTCCGGCATCCTGGGTTCGAGGTTGCGAATTGCAAAGGTGCCAGCAGAATCACCAACTGCCAAAGCTTCTTGTGCACCTAACATCTGCTTTTGCATTGCAGCTGCCACAGAATGGTGGTGGAGTAGCCCGAATTAGGATAGCTAGTCGTTGATTTGAAAGCCTGCTCGCCATACAACAGCCAAGCTTCCAGATGGACGGCTGGAACGAACAGCGAAGCAGGCCTGCGCTGGGATGCAGCAAGTAATGCGCAACACCAAAAAGCCCTTGACATGTCGAGACAGCAAAGACGCAAACACTTGGGGAGCGGGCGGCAAAATCACACTGCAATCAAGCCTCTCTTGCCCTCTTTCTGGTGAAGGTTAGCTGCAGAAGCCAGGTTGACTTAACTGCATTCGAGAAACGGAATGGGGACAGCCTACATTTCAGGCTGTCTGCCGCGCAACGCTGGCAACTCTAGCTGTTGCCGACACGCTGGACTATTTTTGCAGTTCTGAGCAGGACGCTCGCCATTCCACTATCCCAACAGCAGGGAGATAACAACCTTCAAGCTTAATGTATTCTTCAAGACCGTCTCCCACGCTGAACTGCAAAGTGGTTGCTCAGCGCTAACTGGGGCTTTCAGATGTGGTCCTCGTGGAGGCAAGACTTGCAAATCCCGTACCACTTGCTAACCCATGAAAGGAAGACCTGTGATTGCATGAAGAGGCGAAGTTTATACATGGTCATGTACTAGGTGCAGGCATTATGGGCAAACACCATCCGGGTGCATCTACACCTGCTCCGCAAACCCGAGAACATGTGATGGCAATAGCACGACGTGTGTGGTTCCAATGTTTCACGCTAAGCCGCTAAGCCGCTAAAAGCCGCTAAGCCTTTGAATTTCTCAGCCTCTGGCTCCGGCATCTTCTCTCCGGACCAGAGCCAGGCGCCTGCAGCGCCGGCCGCCTCCAGTGCCACGATTCATCTCCATGCATCTAGCTGCTAATGGGACATTGCGTGTGAGTGATGCCGAACACCAAGTCCCAACCACTGGTTGCTGTTGCGGAGCATGGCCTGATTGATGTGCAAGAGTGGTGCAGGGATCGAGGAGTGCTCCACCTGCCCAATCTCTCAAAGTTAAGTACGGTTCCTCGTCAAGCTGCGGCAGGGGCTTTATCATGACGTCTCTGTCACTTTGATCTTTCTTGCAGGGTTGCATGAATTGGCCGTTGCGCAAAAATGCGCACCTTTGCAACTGAAGCATGCTTATGAGTTGCCTTCAGCAGACAGTGACAAAGCAAGAACCGTTGGGGGCAGTGCCAATCTTCGCTCCGCTGGAGAGAGGTTCAGCAGCGTGCACAGTACTGGAACCAGTGACCTCAGCTCAGGATGACAGGGGTTCTGAAGCTTGTGAAAAACAGCAAGTAAGGGTTTGTGATTCAAGCGAGAATTCCAGAGCCGTTCTCTGCCCACAATCTCTGAGCAAACAATGCCAACATCCCGCAGCCTTGCCTAAATCCAAGAAAAGTATCTGAAGAAAGCTCTTGTGGTGCCACCACATGTGTAAGTCTCACGACTTCAGATCGAGGGTCAGACTGGGATTTCAGATCACCCTTCTGGCAGTACTCAATGTACTTGAGCACAACATGCTTTAGGTAATCTCCTGTCAGCACACCGGTTCTGACATCTTTTGATTCAGCCATGCTTTGCACTCATACATTCTAGGTGGCATCACACTGCATGTGCTCATGCCGTCAGAGCGCACCTGCCACATTGCTTCGGCCTTGGCTGGATTCCAGCTCCCGGATGCGGTCCTTCAGAACCTGCAAATGCACTGCACCAAACAGTGATGGCATGACACGTGGACCTTGGTGTAGTTGTCCTGGCCTGGATGAGTTCAAACCAACTCACAGAAGGAAGTCTTCGCATCAAAATGGCAAGGTGAGGCAGCCGGCCAACATACGAATCTACGCCACAGGCTTCTGTCTCAATGACGGGCACACCAATTCCATTGATCTGAAGACACTTTTTGAAGCTGCAGACGAACTTTCCTTATCTCGCCTGGAGCAAACAATGATTCAGGAGCCGATGCCTTCTCTTGCGCGTAGCTCATTTGCAGCATCTTCTGAACTTCCGCCAAGGATTGGTTGAGTTGCTGAACCTGCACCGCCAGCAGTTTCTGATTCTGCTGAGGAGAGGGCGTGCGAAATGGAATGTACAAAGCAGGTTCAGACAAGTGCGTCGGGTGTGGCTTTTTCTTTTTCTATAGACCAGATCAGAAGCTTCTGAACGCTTAAACTGTCCATTCTCCTGCGCCTTACGACATGCAAATTCAAGCATCGCTTCGCCATAACAAACTAAATAAAAAGTATCGCTTGAACATCCAAGATCCAAAATGTGCAACATTGCCTGCCGTTGCTGGTTCTTCATCTCCACCTCCCGGCCAGCCTCTGGAAAGTGATTGAAGAAAGACTGCAAGCGCAAATGCATCTCCGCCCACACCTGCTGCTCAGCCAGTCTGCCGATGAAGTCGTTGCTTGAAAGCTCCTAGCCGCCGCAGAGGCTCAAGTACAGTCCGTGGTTGTGTTGAAATCAAATCACAAGGAAACCTCGTGTCGCATGGTGGAGTTTGCTCTTGTTCGCTGTGTGCAAATTTCTGACGAATTCAATAATGCATGTCCAAAAATTCCACCCCCAACCCCAACACATAGAACAAGACCGTCTACTGGGCGTTTGCAGAAGGGCAAAAGAGGCATGAACAGGGGTTCCAGATGGTTCCAGGTCATGCTCAACACATTCCGGGCTTCAGTTAGTAGTCGAGAAGGTTGTAAAGTTGCTTTGCATGATGGAGTATGTTGATAGCAGCATGGGGCAACTCCCCAGCACAGCATTTACAGATCTTGCAGTGCAAACCCCGGAATTTCAGGAGGACATCTGGCATGATGAGACGCTGTTGGCTTGAGCACGTTATGAGGCCCCTTCAGTGAAACACTCCGTTATGAAATGGCACAAACGCAATCCAAGTCTAATATGCCCTGTTTTCTGACTTCAATCGGCATACGATTCAGAAGAATCCTGTTGACCCGAGAAATGTCTACATGGTGTGCAGTTTGAGTATGTTTGCATGCGAGGCCGGTGGACATGTCAGTGAGCAGATGCAGGAGGCAGATTCACCTCTTTTTACGCTAATGCAGCCGTTGTGGTTCCACGGGTCTGTCTGTTGAAGAGCTTTGTCGGCACAGGCTGGCCAACCAGCTCAGATCACAGTTGCCGCATAGTTTCCTGAGCACATGCAAGGCCGTCTGACAGGTGCACGGGTTGCATTTTCCTCATGTTGGGCCAGCATCCAATCAAAACGCGGACAAGTTGCTTGAACTGCCTGCCAAGTCATGCCATTCACTATATCCGTGTACCTCAGCTCTGGAAAATATTTGTCTGGCCTTTCGAGCTGATGTTGTCTCAAGCACCCAATCAGTGAGTGGACTTCTACAGCCTGGCCACCCTAAGCTCTTCAGCACATCTTCCGCCATCTGGGCACGAATGCCTCTGCAGCCGTGGAATTTCAAGCGCAATCTTGGGTGAAGTGAAGCATCTTGCTCCAAGCAGTTTGCCCATAAACTTTTGCAAGCGTTTTCGTGGCAAAAGGCGTCACTGAACCCGAGGTTCTAATGTGCACAGTACATCTTGCTCAAAACTTGAACACAGCAATCAGGATTGCTTGCCAGCTTTTGCGTAAGGCCTTCGTCTATTTCAGCAGAAAACTGTGTTGCTGAAGAACCTCTTGGATGCGGTTCCGTCCAAAAACATACTTCGTCCTTCTCCCCTTAAATCCAGCCTCAAGGCATTTGGCAACGTTTCTTTCCCCTGCTTTGTTTCGGAGGGTTTATGCCCCAGCAGCCACAAACCTTGCCCCAACGACACCGTCTAGTCTGAGGCAGGGGCATTTACAACTGATCCGCATTAACACTACCCCCCTCCCATAGACCCAAATGTCATCCCATTTCTCCCAGCAAAACAACTCGTCACCAGCAGGTCGAGATCGTGAAGTCATCCTATAAAGTCCTTGGATCCTATTATGACATTCCACCTATTCTTATGATGAGTTGGCTGGTTAACGCACCGTGCAAACCCAGGTTTCTTGGGGCACTGCCTCGGGCACAGAACACCACGATTGGTGTTTCGGTGTCTTGCGGCAGCTGGCTTGCCCGGTACTTGATCCTAAAGGGTCAGGGAGAGAGAGATTCATGGCTACGTTACTCAACCTAGCAAGAAGCAGGCTCAAATACGTAGATGCCACCGATATGCAGGCTACTTCATTTTCAAGGCGCCAGTGCGAGACGAACAAGAACATCAACGCAGGCTGCCGTCCCAAAGCAGGCAGCGATAGCACTGCCCGTTTTGCGCATGTCACTACCAGGTTTTCTTTAGTGTAACATGTAGTTGCAGTGCCCTTGGTCATGCAGCCGTATGCTTGTCAAGCCCACAGACACAACAATACCGTGTCAGCCTATGCCGCCTGATATTACAACGTGGAAGAACGTCCAGGCTGCCCCTGAAGTTGTCTCACAGTGGACACATGCGGGAATGGCACTACTCCTAACAGATCTAACAGCTCGATCAAGCTGAGCCGGAAGGCAAATGAAAACTTGGCTCTTCAAAGGTCGAGTAGCGTAGAGCTAGGCATACGATTACGAAAGCCTGGCGGCCCACAAGGCAATGCTGGACGCACAATGCAGCACTTCTGTCACATCTTTGCCAAGGCTCTCTGTGTGCGGAATATTCATGCTGCCTGGAACATGGCCATCCATGTACCTCAACTATGCAAACATGCGGACCGTGTTGATCAGAGATCCTTTGGGCCAGTGATCCCAAAAGGCAGTGGTCCAGCCGATGGCTCAACGAAGCATCGTTTCCTGCTAAGCAATCATCCAGTGCAACTATAAAGCCACTGGAACCCCACGATACATTTGGTTTGCCAGGTTACTCTTCTTCGCTCCGAACATCAAGGAGCAGGACTCCTTACTTTTATCTGAGCGCAAAAATGTTGTCTGACACAGCTGCGCTGGAGGTACCACACATGTACAGCTAGACTTGGCTGTATGCGGCAAGAGACCGGGCTTCAGCAATTGCTCCACCACATCACCTTCGCCTCTCGACGTAGTGGATTCAAAGCCAGTCAAGCTATCCGAAGACAGACAATCAAGAAATACATGGACATGCAATTTGAGTAGGTGAACCTGCTTCCGTTTCAGACGCTTATTGGTAATGTGCCGCGCTACTTCATTAGGAAGAGGGTGTCTGTGAAGCAGGGAGGAAAGTGGTCCTTCGCCCCCGCGCGCATGGCGAACGGTCCGTGCTGGATGCGCTGAGGCAGTTCCTCGGCGCTCTGCACCCTCGGGTTTGGATGCACCCTCGGGTTTGGATGCGGTAGACTCTGGAAGTCTAGTTCGTGGAGGAAAGCGGAAAACTAGATCCCATAGCTTGAGTCAAGCTGTCTCATATCTGCAGGCTAGGCGCTGGTAGTAGGCACAAAGCTTGTCAGCATCATCCTATCTATAAAGGGCAGAGGCAGTCTAATTTTAGCTGCAACTTGCATTATGAAGAACTTGACGAGGCCATCCGTGACTGCCCCAAAATTGGTGCTGTGATCTTCTTGGCCACTCTAAAAGCTCGCCCTAAAGCTATGCGAGACTGCCCTTGCGTGGACACGAAGTATCCGGAAACTCTTCTGCAAACCCTCCCTGTGGCTTTCCATAGAAATCCACACGGTCTCAGTCCTGCAAGCACAGAGCGTACAAAGCCCGAGAAGTAGCACCGTGCAGCGGCCAAGCTGGCCCAAGTTTCGCGCCATGGCCAAGGCCGGGCCAAGGCTTCTGAAAGCTCTTTGCAACGCGTTTGTGCTGACTAGTCCTGATCTAGTGAATCTAGTACTTGTCATGCCGACGCTGGTTCCTCTTTAAACTTGCGAGTGCACAAGGCTTGTTCCGAGGCAACTGGGCAGCACATGCAAGAATGATGCACAAGGCATGAAAAGGATGTTTGCGTTTATGTCCTCTTCAAGCTCGTTCGTCTTCTGCTTCATGTGGCCAAGGGCCGCTTCCTTCTGCTACAACTCAGAATTCAGTCCGTCACCTCTTGGATGCAAAAATTATGTACTCACTTAGCCTTGCTCCTGTAAAATGTGTGCTGAATAGCAATGGGACTTGCTACAACTCAGAATTCAGTCCGTCACCTCTTGGATGCAAAAATTATGTACTCACTTAGCCTTGCTCCTGTAAAATGTGTGCTGAATAGCAATGGGACTTTCCTTAAGCTGCTAATATCAGATGATTGAGCCCTGCCTTTTCGTCCAGGAGCTTCTGCGCCTGAAATTGCATCTGCTAAGGTCACACAGTACTGTCTTTCGGCTTGCTTCACTGCATCTGTTTAGGCAGATTTCTTCAGAGATATGCGACCGCTAGACACAAAGCCAGCCTGTGCCCTTGCCATCTGAGCCTGCAGACGCTATTCGCTGAACTCTTGGGCAAAAACATGCATTCTGCAGGGTGTGGCTTGGGTGGTCAAAGGCTCTGAGTGGCCATGAGTATATAAGTGGCCTCTTCCCTCTCTCTCTCCAAGTCCATGCGGAGGCGCCGCGCCTGAATTGCTATCAACACTTTGACTTGAGCTCCATTGCAAGCACGTTTTTCTAAGAGAGAGTCATTCAGTGCGATCCTGACGAAGCTTCCCTGCACTTCTGTGTGCTGACAATTTGTGAACAATTTTCTGACACCCAACATCCCCCAACATGGTGCGCAATTGAAAAATCGCTCCTCTGCTCGAAGGTCATCCATGGAGACCTGACTCTCCACAAGCTTCTCATAGATCAACACCCGATCGGCACCAGAAACTACGACGGCTACGAATGTTGGATCTCTGCCTTGCCCTCTTAACCAGTGTTCGCGCACCCCTACAGTCTACACCCCACTCTGACTTGTGACCAGCACAACTACGACTAACAGCAACTTGCCTGTCACAGCATTCAGTTTGGCTTTTCTCACTGGCAGTTGAGGAAAATGGGCACCATGAGGCCACAATTGGCGTGCAGCCTCTGGCTTAAACATTCATTCACATACATCAAGCCGCCAAACGCAGCTGCAAAGAAAGGAACACATCAGGACACCATCAATGCTCAAGTGCCATCCAGCCATTCATGGCCTTATCGATTCAGCAAAGTATCTGCTACCAATCTTAGGTCAAAGAGTCCTATGGTGTCTATAGTACATTCGCTTCAATCACTGGCAATCAGGGAGGAGACTTGTGCTGTGTTCTTGAGCACGGATTCCGAATTCAGGGCTTCAAGCATCTCTGTGGATTGCTTGTTGGGGCACACCGCTTAAACACACACCATTTGTCTGCTGATGAGCGCAGCGTCGAGCTGTGCCACACTTCGTGCCATTTGCAGTCATTTACAGGTCCAACAACTCGCTAGAAAATCCAGCGCAGATTCGGCTCATGCAGATTCAACAAGGGTGTAGAATAAGCGTTTTGAGTTTGCATGAAATCAGGGTGGGAGTGACAGATTTAATCGGATGTGCTCAGAGGCTGGAAACAAGGATGCGTACGTGCCTGCGTGATCCTACGTATTGCAAAATCTGTTGCATGTACCTGGGCGCGCTGGCTTTGGCAGCATGTATGCAGCTCTTCCTGGCCGTCTGCTTGTGACAAGCAAGACCATGGAAAGAATAGCCTTTCGCACAATAAAAAAAGCTCTATACTCTACTTGGCTACATGCTACTTTGGCAAGCTGAACTCTGCTTTTCTGCCTTTAGCTTTCGATCGTGCAGGATTTCCAAGGGGATCAAAAAAGCTGTGGCCATCATCACCAGGCCACCTGAGCGTCGTGCAATGCACGGCCCAAGGGTCTGCGGAAATCCAGTCAGAGTCAATGCCACGCATGTCTGCAAGGATTGGACTTGCAGGGTGGGCCTGCCAGAACAATTGCCAATTCATAGCCCGATCTTTCCGCAATCAGGCCTGTCAGCACCATGTGAAGCGAGCATTTCCGCCATTCATTCTGATTCACTCTAGACAGAGGTAGACTGAGCCCCCTGCCTGCAAGTGGAACTCCAAACAAGTTCCCCATTCCGACTCCGATTCGTGATACTCCATGGTACAGCGGCAAGACCTGCCCGCAAACGACAGTAAAACATTGGGTATCAAAGAGGGCACAGCCGGACGGCTTGATGGACGGCCATTGTGCAACATCGCAGAGCAAGGGCAACTCAGAAAGCCAACAGTTTGAGTCCGTCTCATGTAAACGAACCTGTAGTAGCAACAGACATGGCACAATCTTGCGTCGATGTTCCCACTTGACGCTTCGCTTCAATTTTCACGTTTCGCAAGTGAATCGACCTGGCCTTGGTGCCAAAGAGCTCACTCAGCACCACGCTAATCAACGCGATGACAGGGCCAATGCAAAGTCCTCAGGACAGGAGGGCGAACTTGCTTTGTGAGATCAGCAGGCCTGTTCTGCCAATATTTGCTAGAAACAAACACAAGAAATGCCAATCTGCACAGCAATGAGCTCCCCGCCCTGCCGACCCCTACGCTGAACAAATGAGGTGCTCTGCAACGGGAGCACCAAATAATATATCCATGCACCGGAACATCATGAGAAGCATTGATATGCCAGGTTGCCATAGCAAGCGCTCCAGAGCAGCAAGGACTCCATGTTCCTTGTTCCAAGCACGCTTGACACATGCAATAGTGTCCAGGACATCTACAGCAGACTGTCAAGCAGAATGGGGCAGTGCTTTTGCCAGGCATACGTAAATTCTGGAAGTCGGTGTCTGCATGGAACGTTAAAGATCTGGCTGCTGCAGAAGTCCCCAGACTATGCTTCAGATGAAGCAGGAAGAGGCACTTCAAGTGGAACATGCGGGAAATACATCTAGAAAGGGTGCCAGCTATTTCAAGGTCAGAGGCTGCGGACACGGTTGTTCATGGATGTGGCCAAGCCGCCAGCAAAATGGTAAGCAGCATGTTGCTGCCCCAACCAAGATCTGTGAGATCATGTGGACACGGCCTCAAACATTTTTTGGGCACTACCCTCACCGCCATTCGCCAACAAAGCTGCATTCATATCAGCTTCAGGGTCCTCTCTTCTCACCTGAATTGACGATTAGCAGCGGGGCCCTCCGCAGGTAGTGGTGATCAAGCCCAGGCAAAGCCGCGAGAGTAACGCGGAGATGCCTCACTTGCAGCACCGCATCACGTGCCTGTCAAGTGTCTAGTCTACACGGAATGGTAACTAGCAACTTGCATGTGTCCTTGAAATTACTCAGTGATCTCCATCACCCGCTATCTCAGTGATCTGCATTGCAGAGACATTCAACAGAGCGGCCCATCACGGTGTAGGCGTTTGCCGCCGCCTGCTGAAGAACAAAGAACAGGGGGGGGGGGGTTAGCAGCTTAGCAGCTCTAGAGACCTGTGGTGCAGCATGTCATGCTGCCCTGGCTGCACAGCTTGCTTCAATTTCAAGAACCCTTTTTGAAACAAAGACTCTGCGTTTGCAAGCCTACCAACATCATTCGTAATTTTTGGCCTCAGGCGGCAGCAACAGCTCGTTCTGAACAAAGTCAGCAAGCAGTGCCGGAGGAACAAAATATCCAAAGAAACCTGAGTACTTGATTTCAGTTGTAATCTCAGCTCTTATGATCTTGAACTGACACTTTTGGAATGCTTGAGGCTGAGAAACAGACACAGCTTGTCGAATCGCTACTGACTTAACCACACGAGGCAATCATGTCCATGCTCCATGAGATCTCTACCTCTCCTTTTGTCCGACTGGTGAACTGGTCAAGGGTTTCACATGCTTATTCCAGGTTGCATACCAATCTCATACTGAACTCTGGAACATTCAATGTTGAAACCCAACGATCCCCAATTGACAGACTGAACCGGCAGCCCTTTCCGTGCCAGCATAAGTTGTTCTCTTTAGCAGGGCAGCAGACGAACATGTCCAACCACCAACAAACGAAGCGCGGATCTCGACATGGATTGGAAGGTTGCGCTTGCACCTTGTCAAGGCCGAGACAGGGCGAAGCATAACAAGCTGGCTTGACTGCAACCCATACTTTTACGCTGGACAAGTTGGAGACAAATTTGTTGTCTGCACCCTGAGCTCGAATTGAAAAGGACTCTGTGCCAGGAAGGCATGCAAAGCTGGAAGGAAGATAGGATTGCCGCACAGGACTCCAGCTTGACTTCATTTAATGTCCTGGGATTTCTCGACCGAGAATACAGCCCAGCAAACAGTTGAGTAGCTGTTGGCTTCCCTGCCTGCGGCCGTGTCTCCGAAGCTTCTACCTGCACCACATTGGAATTTGCTCAGCCAAGAACCCGAAAGCTGCGAGAGACCATCGCATTGTGACAAGGCCTTGGGCTTCGGCACTTGGAAGAGTGGCGCTACCAGCCCAAGCGCCAAACAGGTCGCCAGAGCGTTAACGCGCATGGCCCAGCGCCACCCAAGCTGTTCTGCACATTGCAGGCATGCACAAGTTGGATGCAAATGCTTCTTTTGCAAAGCCTGGAAATGCTCTGTCGACTTGCTTGACATCGGAACCATGCTGACATCACTGGATTTGCGCGCTTAACCGTAGCCGCATCCAAATGATTGAGCATTTGTTGATTGCGAAAGCACTTCATTGCCTGTGAGCGCGGTGTAAAACTGTGGCAACAGAATTGTGCCCACGCTCGTGCCACCTTGGAACTAGAGGTACTTGATGCGAACTTTGCACAGTCCAGACTCGTATGCATAGAGGCGACACGCCAGAAGTGCAAAACAAACATTGCAAAACGAATTGAATTCGGCGATGTTTGGCTACATCCGTGTCTATGACCGTAAGACTTTGAATAGATCGAGAATGAGGCCAGAATGACTTCGTGCCTAGGTATACAATTTGAAGCCCAACGTTTCACCAGCCAAGCTTCAAGTAGCGAATCCTACCAACATTGCCCTCCTTAGCTGTTCAACTCTGCTCAGGCTGGGTGGAGAGCAAGGTATATCCATGAGCCAGGTCTCTGCCTCGTGGCGACGCTGGCGTTTAAGGCCACAAGACCAGCCAGGTTTGAAGCCCCAAGTCCCAGACCTTCAGCGCGACACGGAAGATAGGCGCTGGCCTAATGCAACTTTGTGGCCAGGTTGCGAGGCCAAGCTGATCCCAATTCGATTAGCCTACATGTATTTCAATTCCTCTGTGGAATCTTCCTTTCAGCCACTGCCTTGTGTGCCATTCGGTGGCTGCGAACAATCGGAATGTTGAATGTTCGTCAAAGGTGCAACTTGCTGTATCTGAACTGTGACTGTGACAAATCCAATGGACAGCGGTGCTGCTTCCCCTCGAGGCCTTAAGCGTGACTCACTCTCTGAAACTATCTTGATATCCACGAATACGTTGACTTGTGCTCAGATTGATCAATTTTTTCCCCAGTGCCAAGGCCTGCCAAAAGCACAGCAGGATAGGCATGGACAATGCTATCCACCTCAGCAAATGATACTTGTTGTGATATAGCAACTTCTGTGTGGGCGCGATGCGATATGAAGTTGCGACTCCAGTTACAAGGAGCACGGATGTACCAATCTAGCAAAAAACGGCAAATCCATCCTCCTCATTGTCATCATCAGCCGAAGAAACCATTGATGTATGCCGTTGGAATTGTATCCGGGTGCAATCGTGTTCCAACATGATTCAGATGCGCCACAAATGACAGCGCCGCAAAGCCTGTGAAAGCGCAAAGAGCACAAAGCCCAGCTACCTGGAGCGGGTGCTGAATGGAGAAGCAACTTGGAATGTCACTCATACCGCAAGCTCTGGCCAAGGCGTCCAAGAAGCAGTAGCGTGGCCAAGACGCCGCGGAATGATCATCCCTGTGCAGCTTTTTTTGCTGGAAAACCATGCAAGTACAACACCTTCAGCCAACTTCAAATTCGATGCTCCTGTACGGGAGTGTATGCAGAAGTGCTACGAAGCTGAAATCGCAGCTGCTGCTGGGCTCAGGGCAGTCATAAAAGGGGCTTCCTGCAAATTTGGGGGTACAGCCACAGGGTGGTGGAACCTGCTGCCAGTCCACAGCGGTTCCCAGAGATGTGGGCTTTGCAAGTCAGTACTTGCCAGGATTTCTTTTTGGGATCCGCCTGCAACCCACCCTCTCCTCCTAGTCCTTAGCGGTCTTGAAGGATCGGAGAACTGGAGCTGCAGCTGCAGCTGCTCTTGTCTGCTGCCGAGCTGGCTGGGCTTGCTGCGGGATTGGCTCTTTGAACCACAGGCTCTGGTTCAGGTGCTGTTTGCCGTACCTCTTTCAGCAGTGGTGCCCGCACATGCTGTAGCGCTCTGCAGGAGCTGGCTCTTCTGGCCGTGATCCCTTTCGTTGGAGTCCGTCTGGTTGGGCTTCAGCTTGAACCTCTTGAGGGGAGCTTTTGGTTCCTCGGTTTCTTTTGGGCTTTCATCTCCACCATGCTCATCCTCCCTTTCATCTTGTACCTTGCCTTCAAGCTTTGCGCCACTGCTTGTGGCTGCACTTTGCTGCTTACGCAAACAAACGCACAACCAAACAGAAGATGGTCATGAGTCCTAACAGCAAAGTTCTTGGGAACAAGCTGTCCAGGAGACTCTCATCTCCCTTTTGGCAGGTAAAGGCTCCGAAAACATCATTGGGGCTGAAGGGAAACAGAGCTCTCACCTCGAGCGCCCACGGCCTCCTGCAAGTCCTTGCCTTTGGCTTCGTGAGGAAATAGGACTCTGGCTCCCGTTAACCTTTCTCAGGAAAACCTTTCCGGCCCCGTGGTCTGCCTCTTACACATGAAGTTCAGGACTTTCAGGTGTCCTAGCTTGCTGGTAGAACTGTCGGACCATGACCTTGGGATGTAGATCTCAAGACGACAATCCTTGAGGGCAAAGCTCATACCGCAAGCGAGGTTCCCTGTAGGCTCTCCTGATGCCTTGCAGCTCGGCTTCTGGTAGCTACGAGTCCGAGCTGCGATGGCAATTGCAGCTCCCCCATCCCGTCCCATCCCCACCCATCCAAAAGCAACCTTGGCCCGGACAACCGAGGCTGAACCTAAGGTAATTATTAATTTCCTTCAAGTACGTGAAGAAGACTTCGCTGCATCGTGCTGGGAGACAAAAGGGAAAGGGTTCTAGTGACAGCTCGTCACTCACCACTTTGACCTTGGGCAAGTGACATGCTGCGATGTGATACATCCCATCTCATGTCAACCCCACCCAACCCTAGCTGAAGTTCGAACCGACCTAGTAACGTAACCCGAGCTGAAGCCCAGGCTCAAGGGTTTTGGCTGCAGTTTCAAAAATATTTTGCAGGGTTCCCAAGGCAGGATCACAACCACCCAGGACCTCGAAAAATCTCGTATCATGTAGCTGGGTATCCGCACTACTGCTATCGCATGAGGCCAATTTGCAAGTTTTGCTACCGCTAGCTTTCAACTCGCTGAAAGTATCGATTGGTTCGCTGCATGTACTAGCTGGCTCTCTGAAAGCACCATGTTCGCATATGTTCGCATTCAGGCTGACCTCCCGGACTTGCTCTTCGACACTCGAGGGGAGTGCAGTTCTTTGTGGTCTGCTCAGTGGATCCATGTGTCATATTCGGGATATGCCCCATGCATCCCAATGCCACTACAATGTGGATGGTCCTAACGCTGAAATCCTATCCCCGGATCTCAGCGCCCTTCTTCTGACCTGTCAAAACTCAAGGGCCAATTACCGGTCAGTCATCAACAGCACCAAGCAGCCTGCCAGCAAGGAGCCAACGAACTGTGCCGTATTCATGGTGGAGCTGATGGCAGATACCTCCACTTACAAGATTGGGGAGCCATCGTGCTGCCAATTAGCACGTGAGGTGGGGCTGTAAGTCCTTCCTATCAAGAACGTTCACAACACTACCACTGACAGCTGCTCGCGCAAATCTCTTCTTTGAAGGCGCGCATAGAAGCGGGTGATTCTTAAAGTGATGGGCCGTTCTGTTGTGCCAGTGCAAGCAGGTCCGCCTCCGTGAGGGAAACATCGAGGTCAGCCTCATGTTGTCCAAGCATGCCGATCTTCCCGCATGTGCTGCATACGCTCTTGTCTCAAGAAATCTAGGGCCAAGGAATCATGGAACCGTCTACGGGCTGACGTGCAGCTGAGGTTCCAGCCCTGATCACGGGAAGGAAGATTCCAAAGCTGTAGATGGGCCCAAAGGTGAAGACATGGTTCCTCAATCACTCTGAGTGAGCTCTGCATCTTGCTGCATCTTGTTTTTGAGCAGCATCAAGACATGTCTGCTTTTCACGGGCACAGCTTGCGCACCCAAGACTCACGAAGCTGGCTCCCACCTTTATCAGCGCTGCTTGCGTGCAGCTGCAGCCCTTAGAAGCTTCGCCTTCCATCACTCCCTGCGCGGCTGGCTACTTTGCTCCAGGCTGTGTGTCAAAGAGCTAGTCTGGCAAGTGCCTTTGCACATTCATGCCGCTAGCCGCTGCATGTGCTTTTGTTTGTCTGTGTTATGTGGTTGGATTCTAGTGCGCAGCTAGCGCCCCAGATTTGCAGCCCTTGCGAGAACCCATGCTCTGCGCAAGACTGACAACCTTGATTGAGAGCGGTGCGAAAACACATCAACAAATGCTCAGCCCGGCAGACTGCAGCTACATGGTGTTGCCGCAACAGGCATCATCAGCGATGACAAGTGTTTGGAACTCCTTCGCTTGCACGTTGCTATCGCTTGGCTCATCATGTTGAAGCGACCTTGCCTGCATCGCCTGCCGTTGCCGGTCTAAGGCCTGCCAAGCCTGTGTGAAAAAGGCCCAAGCTTTCCATCAGGGTTCATGAATCCAATGTTTTCTGGGGTAAATACTTCTCACGTAATTACTTGACACGGGTTCCTGATTACGGAATGCATTCAAGATAGTAAAAGGGATTAGGGACTAAGTTGATATGTTAAACTATAAAAGGGACCCCTATGTCCGCTGTTAATCGTCCCTTGGTAAACCTAATATTGAAAGTAGCTCGCATGTGCAATGCAGGCAGGATTCGCAGCTGCAGCTTAAGTGTTGAGTGCGAGGCCTCTTTCTCACGCCGCTCGGCTGCCGCCTCCCAAAGCTTCAGAGTGATGCGGAAGGCAACTTGGCATGCATGAGCTCACTACGCCCCTTTTGCCTTTCAGCACGAAGATATGGCAACGTTCTCTACTGAGAGCAAATCCTTGCTTTTCAAAGAGCCATCCTGACTGCCCCGAGCCCCCACGTGTTGCGGTCTCTTCCTGCCTTTTGCTCCATCACTGCCTGAAGCTCATCGCTGGCAGCCTCACCAGATTCCTGCGCTGCAGCCATATTCTGAGAAGCTGAAGCAAGACAAACTCGAGGAACTCACACGTTAGCCCGTGAGCCTGAACTTTGACTCGTCTTGTTCGTCGTCATTCTTGTGCGCATTCCATGAGCTTGAACTATTCAACATGCAAACTCGAGTCAGAAAATATCAGGTGTGCGTAACGATAAAGTGCGATGCGTTCTCAAGTTGAGCGGTGGCTGGTCGTTGTGAACGTGTGCATCAGACGCAGCGTCACCTGGCCTCCACCATGAGAAAGCCGGAGTCGTTTTGATTTCCTCAGCAAGTGTGAGCTAAGACGCAACATGAAGAGCACGTTCCAGTTGCCTTTTCCATGGAGCTTCTGCTTAAGCACTTGTGCCTGGTACAAGAAGCAGATGTTGCACATGACGGATGTGTCTACTGCAGGATGACATGGGCCCAGAGAATCCGAGCAATAGCACGTATCAGCAAATGCAAGCAGGAAATCTGACTTCAGCTGCATATGGTAAAGTTACCGGACCTAGCATTTGGTGCAGGTCTGCCTTCTCGCGGGCCATGCTGGTCAGCTCTGCTTTGAGATCCTGTGCTTGTTAGGAACATGGCTTTGCCCTTGTCTCCAGTGCACGCCTAAAACCCACTTAGGGACGTGCGGGGGTCGCCAGTGTTTGGCATGGGAGACTTACGGGAGTCGGATTCACACGTCTTGGTGTCCTGCATCTTGGCCTCCGCCTCCCGAAGTGCTTTCTGGTGGACCTGGATCTCCGAAGCCTTTTCCTGAACCTTCCAGGCACAGGGCAAAAAGCAAGGTCTGGCCTAGCTGCTCTTCCCAAGGCACTGAAGAGCCCTTTCGAGCATTTCAAATTGGCACTTCTCTGTGGTGAAAAGGGGCACTTGCGCGTCGAAAGCACATAAAGCTAGAAGGCTGGGATGCTCTTGGATGGTTTCACTTCTCGAGCTTGTTGCATGCGTGGGCTTGGGTGTCGGCCACCAGGCTTTCTTCTTTGGCTTTCAGCTGGGCAGATGGAAAACAAGAGCTCTGGCAACATGCTATGGAAGGATTTATCCAAGGTGAAGTTGGAAACAACAAATGGCCGTTTGCCCGAAGTTGGCTCGCTATTCAACTCGTCAAATCTCGTCAACAATTGCTCCAGCTACCCTGTTGAGGTCGCCTTGCACAACTTTCATGTCATTCATAGCACCCAAATGTGCCCATCTGTCTTGGTCCCTCCCTGCCCCAAGCTGTCCGGGCCTTCCCGTCTGGCCCAAGAGCACGAAAATCACAACGGCTGCCACTAAAGCTGAGAGTGCTGACTTAAACTCCTTCATGCTAGGCTGATTTTGTCTTCTGCTTTTGTCTTTGGGCACTCAACGATCAACGTCAACCTGTGCCAGCATTTAGGCTTGCCAAAAGTCGCGTAGTGGTGCTGCGAATTAACACTAAATGACCGGATCTCCTGATTTCATGTAAGATCGGTATGTCACCACGTAAGAGAAAATTGGCCAGACAAAGCATAGCACAAGCACAGGCCTGCTGCCGTGCCATCTCATTCAAGCTGGCCAGCGACTGGTTGTGCAGGTCCTCACATGTTTTTCTTTGCGGTGACTATTGTTGTGATGGAGCTTCCGCTGTTTCTTCAGCGGCCTCAAGTTGCATCCAACGCTGTTGCAAGCGATCGAAAGCTTCTTCGCCCAGAGATGGCCTCACCATGCTGCACGATGACTTTTTTTGGGATCGAGTCGTTCGTGGTGCAAGAAGCAGCTCCCATACCAAAGTGTGTAGCTGCTTTCCTTTGGATTGCAATGATCTACGCGCTCACCCTGACCTGAAATTTGCACGCGTACGCTCTCCAGGACCTCTTCAAGAGTTCTGCGACAGTCTCGTCGGAAGGAAAAACGAGTTGCAGGAACTGCTGAAAGACCTGGCACACATGATGTTTGGAAGAACTCTTCTGAGAACTTCTGCGAAACTGAGAGGCTCAAACTGATCAGAATTTTCTCCTGTTCTCTGCCGGTCGAAGCCTTGCGGTCCTCACTAGCGGACTCAGCACTGCCTCAGCACTCAGCCGGCAAGGCTGTCTGCTTCAAGCATGCAGGAACCGGAAACCAGGCGCAAGGATTACTTTATGACGATTGATTCTTTGAAGACATCCAACAGCTTGCTGGCTGAGTCGGGGAGGAGCTAACTCAATTAATTACATAAGTTCAGAGGCCCTGTAATTGTGATCTTGCGAAGCCTTAGCCATGGCGACTTCTTTGGAGCTTTTTTTCCCTCACCGTAATGCCTGGACGCTATCTGGACGTGTCGAGCTGAAGCGTCAACACGTCTTTGGCCTTTATTCCATAGCCATCGGTCTGCACAAATGCCCTGCTTTTCGATTGCCAGGCGTTGCCGTGAAGCTTGGCAGGGTTGCAAGCCGGCATTAACAGTGATGGAATCACCGGGCTTCAAAAGAAAAAAGCGCTAAGGATGTCTCGGTGATCACAAGGGTTGGGGATTGAAAGCGAGTTGCCAAGACCGAGCCCCAAAAGTGCCCAGAGCCACGAGAGTTTGGCCCATGGCAATGGTTGTAAAAGCTCGGCGGATCCCAATACGTCAAACCTGACCTATCCAATCCTGGAATCGCGCAAGTATAGCTGAGCCAATCCTCGAGATTAGAGCAAGAATGATGGACGTACCACGAACTGAAAACCATTCCCAGAGATCTGATTGGCACATATTTTGATTTGAGTGAGCCTCATCATGAGGCTACTAGTAATCTGGCGACCTGTTAACAAGATGACAAATCTTGGTGTACGGGATCTCTCGTCGTAGTCATAGTCGTCGCCGTCGTCGCCGTCATCATTGTGAGCGTGATGGTAGCAGTGGTAGGAAGAATGACGTTCTACTAAGTGCAAATCGTAAGAGCCAATTCTGGGAACGATCGCAGTACTTACGGAAGCTACAGCCGTAACAGTCATCTTGGCAACGATCACCAGATTAGCGCGTGAAAGTAGAAAATAGCAGAAGCAACTGTGTGTGAACAGAATCGTCACATCGAAGAAGAATCCAACAAGTAGCATCTAGGGCAAATGCATGCTTGTCCTAGTGCCAGGGTCGACATGCCACGGCGGCAGGACACATCTCGTGCCACGAAGGACTGGCTTTCTTTAGATCACTACGCCAGCACTTTGAGGCTCAGAAGATGCTGAGAAACAGACGTCTCCAGACAGCCAGTTGTCGCAGCAGTTCATTCCTTGGGGCCAAACATATCCCTTCTGGCCAAAGAGGCTACATTGCAATCATGTTGGGCTACAGCCAGGGTAGCTTCTACAAAGCTCTGTAAAACGTCTGCCACCAGGCTTCAAGTCAGTTGGCGCTTCTTGCGCAGCTGCTTCTTCGAAAGCCCCGTCCTTGTTGAGCTTCATGCAAGCTTATATAAGTCGAAGGCGTATGTTTCGGACAAACCATCCGGATCTTCAGAAACCATTGCTTTGCATGAAGCAGACACGAGAGGCATGTCTTTTCTTCAGCCTTGCCTATCTGGGGCAGGCACCCAAATGCACTTCTACATATCGACAGCCGAAACTGAGGAAAGCTGTTACATGCTGTTACTGCCTGAACTTGCTTTCCACCGTGAACTAAGAGCCTTGCGCATTCGGGGAGCAGCTCGTGACAGAAACGCTGGAAGGATTGACGATCCTGGCAACGGTACATTGGGAAGCCGTTCATGGTCCTTATCCTCTACTCTTTGCGCACGACTTAGCTCATGACTAAAGCAGAGTTGTTATTCTTGCAAAGTGCAGGCTCGCATGGCGCATGCCTCCATAAGGATTTTGTTGAAGCGCACCACCTGCTGCAAGCTCAAAAAGCTGAACAAGCTGCAAAAAACAGCGCTTTCCGCGGACAGAGCCAACATGGAACTTGCATCCTGTGCTTTTTTGGTCAGCCTATTGCATCGACTCACTGTGAGGTGGCCATTGGTAGTTTTTTGTCTGGCCAAAGGCTGTCTCTGACGGGTACACCCCCACCATTGAATGTTCTGGCTACCCATATTCAATTAAGTGGGGTTGTGTGCATCTCGGACACGGACTTTAGGGGTGGGGTCCAAGAGCTTTGGCGCTTTTCATTCTGAATAGGTAGGCCCCCTAACGATTACACTAATGAGCCAGATGGGAAATGTTCTCAAATCTGTTGATCTACCAACCTTTGAGGCGTGTTGGATGGCCTGAGGAGACGGAAGAGGGTGAGCCTTTAGCCCTAAATCGCTGCGAGGGGAAAGGAGCGAGGCGGGGTGGGGGGGTTTGCCTCATGCCTTTCACACTTTGGAGCCCCAAGGCTGTGGATGGGCTGGATGGGTTTTGGGGCTGGGCACATGCTTTTGAGGGCACAGCAGAGCCTCAGCGCGCCAGCACATGAACCAATGTGCTTTTCTTTGCGCCACTACTCTCCGTTTCCCGCGCTAGTTCGACTGCCCCTTCCCCCACCACCCCCTCCTCCCGATCCCGCAGTGTTAATATACGCTTTCGTTTTCTCCTGGCCAGATTAAAGCATCCCTGGCCAAATTAGAGCGCTTCTGCAGGCGATTGCCTGAAAATAGTCATTCTGGACAACTCATCTACACAAGGGATTTAAGTTGTCAAAGAATAAGGGGACGAATGATAAGGCAGAGCTGTTGTGAGAACCTAGGAACATGGAACCGCAACTCGATCTGATAGCAGAAGTGTGGGCATCTCGAAGACTAGCAGGCAAAAATCCAAACACGATCCTCTATGTTCGCTGAAGAACTTCTTCATCCGGAGCTGTCGGACCCTGCCTTGACATACCTCTCTTCAAGCTTCTCGAGCTTCCCTTGGTGCGTCTTCACTTCCTTGTCCTGGAACGGGGCATGTGTAAGGGAAGGGAGGACAACCGTTGCTGCTTGTTAATGCAGAAATTACAATTGTTTTGGACACGCATCTCACAAGTTACAGCTTTTTCGCATCTCCTTTCTTCGAAGCAGCGCTACCAAGGTGTCCTTGGTTTGCGTATGGTCGCATCCAGATTCCAATAACTACTTGTAAGCGTCTATGGCTGAGGTGCATGGCCAGCCTGAGATGACAACTAGTCAAGCGTCTCGGGGGACATTCTCCACCGCCTTTCAAGCTCTTGAACCACTGCCTACTCAATCTTTTGGTTCTCAAGTCTACAGGTCTTGGGAAACAAAGCAAAGTCTGCAATACCTACGAATATGGTAGCTGGCAGATCTCCATCCAAAGTTCCGTGCAGTACATTACCATGTTGCTATTAGACCACAGGTCTGTGTGATTGAAACTGCACAAACGCCTCGGACTCAACAGTACTGCCATCAGCACCGTTGCCACTCACAGGGTACTTGATGTCTTAAATAGATGCAGATACACCAAGGGAGCCCGTTTTGACTCTTCGGTTGCTTGAACTTGGCTTACGCACCCACTCTGGCCTGAAGGTCCAGATCGAGACCGGAGGCTGCTTTGTCGCCCGCCATTCAGATGCCATGCGCCGACAAGCACGATCAAATGGGTCACTGGGACAAGGTCACGAAGAAATGTCCTGCAACTGCCTGCAGACTGCACTGGTCTGCTTCGGCAGAAGGGTACAACTGGATCGAGGTGCAGGTCTACGAAAGCTGGGTGGTCTGCAAGCTTGGCCATACAAGCCCAGCGCCAACTGTTGCATCACCCTTGTGTGATGGCAGCTTCGTGTTTGGTTGTAAATGAATCTCAAATAGTTGGAGAAGGTTGTTTGATGGTGCTGCAACCTTTCGCTCGTATAAGCTCAAGGTGAATGCAGAATTATTGTCATGCTTGAAAGGTCCATTGAGTTCACGCGGAGGCTCGAGCATAAGCTGGGCCAGATGCAGAGGCACTCTGAAGATAGCCGGAGGGGGAACGCAAGCTAAAGCCACGGCCTGTGCTTGTTAGACTGAAGATGCTGACGGAAACTTGCTGGGTTCGGATCACATTAATCTGCTACCACAAAACCTCTGGAGACCCATGAAATTCCAGCACATCACCAGGCTCACACAGTCGGTCGGGGCTTGGGCGACCCGCCAGATGGCCGACGCGAGACGCCGAGGAGAAAGTCTTCCTGTGCAAAAGAGATTTGGATCGAATAGAAAGATTTGTGTTTGATCACTGCACAAATCA